GAGGGGTTGCAGGCGAAGTATTGGATTTGGCCAGGAATTTTCAGTGTCCTATTTGTGATGAGATGAAGAAACCTGACCCTCGTCTTCCTGCAACTTTAGAATATGTCCCCAAGAAATGGCAGGTAGTTCAAACTGATGTTGCGGATTGGCGTCACCCAGAACATGATACTAACCACAAGTTTGTCATTTTTGTTGATGAGGGAACTAGGTACAGGACTGGTCAAATTTTACCGGGAAAAGGAGCTCCCTTTGCAGATTTGAAAAAGGCATTTGATGCTCATTGGATTCAACACCACGGAAAGCCGGAAATTCTTCGTTTTGACCCATGTGGCGCTTGGAGAAGCAAAGCTGCAGAGGAGTTCCTGGCAAATGAAAATATTGAACCGGGCGAAATTCCTGCAGAAGCCCACTGGAGAATTGGCCTTATCCGTATTGTCAAGGACATCATGACGGCTTTGGCTAAGGAGTACCCCCAAAAACCTGTGGATGAACTGTTTGCTAAGGCTATCTGGGCATGCAATAGCAGAACTACGTACAATGGCTTTTCCCCCCTACAACATGCTACGGGAAGGTCGCCTGACGAATGGGGAAGATTACATCAAAGTAAAATTGACGGTATCCCTATTTATGCTCAACAACATGCCGATGGTGGTTTTGAGGATATGCAAAAGATGATGGTTGTTGCGGAAACCGAATTTTTGAAGTCACAAGCAAAACAAAGAATATCTCGTGCCATGCAAGCGGGTTCCAGAAAACAAGATTTTTATTCTCCTGGGGACTTGGTTTACTACTGGCGGTTTCAAACTGGTAAACAAGATGGACCTCAACAATTTCGAAGAGGCAAGTTTGTGGGCCCAGCGCGTGTTCTTGCAGTCGAAACCAAGCAAGCAGACCAGGGCTTGGAAGCGCGTGATGTGATTTGGTTGCACCGGAATGGCCGACTTTTGAAGGCAACTACAGCACAACTGAGACCTGCTTCTTCGAGAGAAATCGCATTTGAAGAACTTCGCGGTCCTCTACAAGTACCATGGAATATTTCTTCTATCTGTAAAGAGCCTAGTAAACACATGTATGAAGATATTTCACATGAAGAACCTCAACAAGAAGACTATGAGATGAGCTGGGACGACCAACCTCCTCTACGTAGACATACGTATAAGAGACCAGCAGATCGACCAGTAGATCGACAAGAGGCCAGTAAGAGAATCAACCAAGAAGATGAAGACCTTCAAGCCAATGAACAAGCACAACATTGCTTTTGGGGAGAGGAATTTAACATGGTACAGCTGGAAATTTCACTACCAGATTCAAACCGGGGAATGAAAACCTTTTTCAGAGATCCCGTGGCATTTGTAGTTTCAAACTTGAAGAAGAAGCAGGTCGAAGTTCGCGAAAACACTCTCAAACCTGAAGAACGCGAAGAGTTCCGAGCTTCGAAAGACAAAGAAGTAAGAAACTTCGTCCGTGAATGTTGCTTGGAGGTCCTGCCAAAACATTTACAGCCTTCACCAGAAGTAGCAATGAAGATGCGTTGGTTGCTGGTTTGGAAATGGGATGATGATGGAAAGCAGAAAGCAAAAGCTAGAATCGTCATTCAGGGGTATCAAGATCCACAATACGAATACCGGGAAGTTTCAGCACCAGTGGTTTCTAGATCAGGCCGCCAATGTTTTCTGCAATTATGTGCGAACAAGAGGCTCAAGGTCACAAAAGGTGACGTGACTGGCGCATTCCTCCAAGGAGACATTTGCTCTGACCAAGATTTGTGGTGTTTGCCTCCCGATGAACTTTGCAAAGCACTGAATATACCTCCAAAATCCGTTTGCAGGTTGAGAAAAGCAGCGTATGGTTTAGTACAAGCACCGTTATTTTGGTACAAGACAGTTTGCAACTTTTTACAGGAGATAGGTTTTCGCAGATTGTTGGCTGATCCCTGTATCTGGGTATACTATGATCAGACAAATATTTTGAAAGCAGCTATTTGCGCACATGTGGATGATTTTATTTTTGCGGGACATCCAGGTGACCAGGTTTATGATGGACTGATTGCGAAAATCAAAGAAAGGTTCACTTGGGGAAGTTGGGAGCAATCTCCTTTTGTCCAATGTGGTACAAAGATTACACAAAACAATGATTTCAGTTTTGATCTCACTCAAGATTCATATTTGGAAGCTGTTCATGAAATATGTGTTTCCCGTGATCGAGCACGACAACCTGAGCTACCTACAACTGAAGGCGAGAAATCGCAGATGAGGTCAATTTTGGGGGCTCTTAGCTGGTTTTGCGGTCAGGTTGGATTTTTATATTCTGCAGATGTTGGTCAATTGATTTCAGCAATCCCTAAAAGCACGATTCAGGATGTGATCACGCTCAACAAACTGGATTATACCATTCGACATGATAAATCAATAGTTTTGAAAGTGCACTCGTTTCCTCAAGAAGAATTGTATATGGTTGGCTGGTGTGATGCGGCATGGGCCAATAGACCCGACGGTTCCTCTAGCACGGCTGGTATTCTGATTGGCATGTCAACAAAGAATTTGGCTACGGGCGGGCAAGCTCCTGTCTCCGTACTTTCTTGGAGATCCAGCAAGATTGACAGAACATGCAGAAGTCCGGGGGCCACGGAAACCAAGGCAGCAGTCGAGTGCGAAGATGATTTATTTTTTTTAAGAATTTTATGGGCTGAGCTCCAGGGTCATCATGTTCAACTCCACGATCCCGAAACCACTGCACAACATACTCCTACTATTTTAGTCTCTGACTCCAGAAATTTTTATGACAAAGTCTCGAAACCTGTCATGACTATCAAGGGAGCAGAGAAAAGGTCAGACATTGAGGCATTGATTGTCAAAGAGAGTTGCGACCGAAATGGGCTTCAGCTTCGTTGGGTCCACTCCGATGCACAGCTAGGAAATTCCCTCACGAAACCTAGCGAAAAACACCAGTTCTGGATGTTTCGTAGGATGAATTACTCATGGAAAATCGTTCATGATCCGATGATGTCTTCAGCAAAGGTGAGAAAGAAACAAGGGATCGAGGTTATGGAAGATCGTTGATTTTTGTGTGGCGGTTCTTTGTTTGTTTGTTTGTTTGTTTGTTTGTTTGTTGTTTCGAACAAAAACTTCTTCGCATTCGTCGGGCTCCAAGCGAGCTATAATTAATAAGGGGGCATGCAAGTTGAAACACTTGTCTTGCTTTCCACACCGAAATGCGAATCTCCCGGAATCTTAATCTCAAGACCCCTCCGGCTGTCAAGGAAAATAAACAGTGGCCGTTTCAGGGTGTTCTGCGGTGTGAACACTTTCACCTGGAACCTGCAAAAAAACACGCAAAAATACAGGATGGGGCCCATAGTTAGCTAAGTTGGTTTATAACTATAATAACAATAGTGCATGATACTTATAATTACATTACTGGGGGGCACCATCCTGTACCCTCCGCTTCACCAACATAGCTATGGAAAATTACCATTTACAAGAGGTAAAAAAAACTATAAATGGGCCAATGTCCATAGCTATGCTAATTTGTTGGAGGGTACCAATGGTTGGGAAACCTTTTGTAAATTTGAAGAATCCCGAAGAAATCGATTTTCGGGAAAACCGCCATAGAAACACCAGTTATTTCTGGCTTTTTGGAGTTCTTGCTATATGTTTCCTGGAAGATCCTTGAGATTAGCATTGCAAATGGTCAGTAATTGGGGTAGATAAATTCCAGGGTATCTCCCAATCGTTGGCGAACCACGGAAACGATGGGTGTAATTCTCGACATGGTGGGGGTACGATCTCTTCATACATAGTTTATCCCTGTTGTACGTATCCCGTCAGGGTTTTTGAATCTGGGGTTGACATTACTCTCATGAGGGAATGACATCTAAATTTCATCAACAATGTTAAACAATAAATCATTGATTTTTTGCATTCCGCTAAAGCTGGCAATGAGTTTGTCGTTGCGGAAGCTAGATCATGCCCCAGTCCTGGAGAAAACTCCAGCTTCGCTTGTTGAAAGGTGAGGATGGATGCCAGACTGATGACGCAAACCAATAAGACACATATATATATATATATATATGGGTAAATTAAAATATTTCACTAACCTGAATTAAGGCCATTTGGGGATGATTTCCCTTATTAACCATGATTCCAGGGCTCGGTCGCAGTGAGGTCGTTATAATTTATCCATATATATATACATACACACATAGAGTCTATCAACCCAAAACATGTGTTTGTACACTTCGATGTCTGTATTAGTATCTCTATGAGTATCTTTATACACTGGTAATGAAACCTGGCAATGAAGCATGTTTTTGTCGAACGGAATACATAAATTATACTCTGAACATGTATATATTACCAAAGGGTACATATTTGATATCTGTCCTCTATGGGTTTGTATCAAACGAATCCCTTTGCCCACACTTCCATGGGTCTGTCATGGTCTATCTTTCCACTGAAATGGCGGCAAAAACTTGTGGGTGCCGTGTGCCCAATTACTGGAATGTAATTTAAAGTAATACTTCTCATGTCTTATTTATTTCTGGGCAATTCATGCCAATTCCCAACACAAAAACGAGCACATTTTGCATGGTGGTGCCCCAGTTCGGAATCGCAAAGTTGGTCTATAACTACAGTATTTGTGATAGATATTACATCTATGGGCTACAATGACTGGGATTTATCGGGTAGATATATCATATATATATATATATATACCAGATCTATCTATGGCTGACGGAGTTTATAAACTAACTGAATAACTGGGGGGGGCCACCACCGCGTGGGATGTCTCTAGATCTCGTGATCCTGGAGAAGGAACCACTACAATGCATGTCTAATAAGAAGACAAACTTCGGTCTACGTCAGGTTGATGATATACTGTATAATATAATATATATATATATATAATATTTTAAATGTAATATATATATATATATATATACAATATTTTAAATATAATATATATAATATTTGAAATATAATATATATATATATGATGTGTTATGTATCCCATGATTGCTCTACCAACCTCCCAAAGCCCAAGTCACAAATGTCTTCCTCTCGAACTGCCAGTGCCACCGCCCACCATCCTCCTGCTTGATGTGGAGCGAAAGCAGGGCTTGGGAAATGGGGAGATTGCTTGGTGGCCCATCGTATACTTAGAAGGTGAGACCCTAGATAGCTAAGTTTTGGTGAACTAGATGTATGGGGTATATATATAATATATGAACCTAATATATGTTCATCTATCTATATTGTATATATATATATATAGTATGAACATATATATATATATATATATATATGATAGAAAGGATTATACTGGGATAGAACTAAGTAGTTAGTGGGATTTACTGTATCCACCAGCAGAGCTTAAGAGACCCACCTTGCCATGGCACCTGGCTTCAGCCAACGTTCAATGACCATTGGCAGCAGAATGGCATGGTGAGGCTCGTAGACGACCTCAACGTCTAGAAACCGGACCCTGGAACATCTCAAAACCCCATAGAAAATACCAGTGGAACATCTGAAAATAGATGACCATAAAAGATATGAAAATCTATAGTTTATGAAAATTATGAAACTTCTATGGTTATATGGTTACTAACTGAAAATCGAATTTTACCTGATATAAGATAGTAACCATTGAAGTTTCATAATACCATAAAACATTATAAAACAAGTCTCGGAGTTGAGAACATCAAAAATTTGCCATGCTCTAGTGACCATCAATTATCCTCCATGTTTAGGGACAAATCCCAACTCTCATGTGGAAGTTGGAAGAGGCAGTCACGTCTAACGGGAAAAACATCGTCCAAACGCATTTCATGGCAGTTTCCAAAAGATCAGTTCACACCTCACAATACATTTCTTGTTTAATGCGGTCAACACAATGCCATAAATCATCCCCAAGTCATCATATCCCATAGGATCCATGTATGCTATATATATATATATATATGGTAACATGGATCCCATCAATATACCCCCTTTATGTTAGCATATATACCAGCACCATGGATCCTATGGGTATTTTTATGGGTGGTAGAAATTAAACACCAAATGGCAGGTTTATACACCCTCTTGATCCCAGGGGATCCAACTATGGAAAAAATCCGTGGAGGATGTAAAAATTTGATAAAAATTGACCAATGTACCCGGTAAACATAGAAAAAACATCTGGAAAATACATGGTTTCCCGGGAAAGAAACTACAAATAATGATGATTAAGGTCATTCACGGAAAACAAAATGTTTCTGGTGTCATCAACCATGGCTGGACAATTCACCCCTCTACAAATGCTTCAGCTATAAAGTTTCGACTTCAGGGAATGTCCCAGTGACATCACTGGCCAGGGCCAGGTCGTAACTCTGCAAACGATCCTCTTGCAGCTTTGGCCATGCCTGAGGGCTGTCTTAAAAACTACTGGGGAAAAGTGCTGGAACCAAAAAAAAAAGTCACGGACCATTCCAAAATTCAAAATTTGTGTTTTGTTTTCTTTTCCAAGAGGTATAACAAAGAACTTTCTAAGCAGAACCACATTATAAGCCTCACATTGTGGAGATGTTTTGTGGCCCACAAATCGGCTCGTTGAAGCGCCTCGTCTCATACCCAGGATCCATGTTTTATAATTCTAGCTGCCAGCGTGCGTCGTTTCGAGACGGTACAATGTTTGCAAAAAAGTTAAACAAAAACACATCAAATAATAACCAAATTTTCTGATCTTATTTTATGTCTTCAGTTATTATGTTAGTAAACAGTGAATACTGTTTCAAATGGGAAAGAATATACCTCAAGTTCTGGATGGTATTCATACAGTGTTTGTAGCACCCTTTTCTTCAACAATGTGGATTGTTCATTTTGGAGCACAATTCACAATTGGGATGCATACTTCGTGCGTCAAACCTCTATCAAACATGTTTGGTGCAACCCTGACGTTGCTCCGCGCCGGAATTGCGGAAGGGTTACGTATTTTTGAAATGCCATGTCGGTGGACTTTCAGTATGTGGATGTATATGTGATTCATGCTCATGATCATGATCATGACCATCATCATCATCATCATCATCATCGTCATCGTCATCGTCATCGTCATCACCATCATCATCATCATCATCATCATCATTATCATCCCTGATGAAGGTAAGTTGATGCTACTTTCAGATTCGGCATATTTGTCAAAGGGGGTGGTGGATTTGTTGATCCCTTATGAAGATACGTTGATGTGAGTACCCCATTTAGCATATTTGTCCGAGGAGGTGGTAGATTTTTGGCCCCTTGTGAAGATAAGTTAATGCCAATGCTATTCCTTATTCTGCATATTTCTCAGAGGGGGTGGCGGATGTTGAGCTCTTATGAAGATAAGTGGGTGTGATAACCCCATTTAACATATTTGTTTTAGGGGGTGGTGGATTTATGATCCCTCATGAAGATGAGTTGATGTGATTACCCCATTCAACGTATTTGTCAAAGGGGGTGGTGGATTTTTGATCCCTTATGAAGAGAAGTTGATGTGATTGCACTTATCATGGCCGTTTCCAGCTACAAGCTTGAAAACAATGATTAATTAAAAAAATGAAAGAACTGTGAAAAAACATGTGAAAAAAAACATTTTGAAAATGCGATTGGAAACATGTGAAAAAAAATCAAACATGTGAACAAATGTGAAAAACAAGTGAACACATGTGAAAAAATGTGGAAACATGTTTGAAACACAGGAAATTACATTTTTAATACTTTTACTAAAATAGTTTTTAAACAAATACATTCATTGTGAACCTAGGGACATGAATCATTGAAAATGAGTACATGCTTCTGTGGAATCCTAATGTTTAAGTTTATATAATATTCTATAATTTAAAATTGGATTTCAAAGAAAACCTGAAAAAAAACTATATCTGAAAAAAAAACAGGAAAATTGGGCTAAGAAACAGGAACTTTTCAACTGCCTTTTGTTCCCATTTTTCACATTTTTGTTCACATTTTATTCACATTTTCAAAACGCATTTTTTCACATTTTTTCCAAGCGCATTTTCAAAACGCATTTTTTCACATTGTTTCACAAAAATGTAAAAAATGTGAACACATGTGAAAAAATGCGTTTTGAAAATGCGCTTGGAAAAAATGTGAAAAAATGCGTTTTGAAAATGCGCTTGGAAAAAACGCGAAAAAACATGTGAAAAAATGTGAAAAATGTAAAACATGTGAAAAAAACACATTTGAACATCCAGTTGGGAAGGTGGAACTTGGATTTTTTGGGGTCCAGTTTTGCTGCAGTTACTGTGCTGCCCAACTTCTGCAGGTTGAAATCGGAGAGGAGCAATTCAAGTCGATCGGAAGTGGACTGTGCAGATTGCAGGTCTGTTTAATATACCTATAGCAAAGCAATGACTACCAGGAGCAAAAACATAAAATCAAATGCAGAAGGAAAAGGAACAAAGCTTCAAAATTGCTTTAAAAAATACATTTTTCACATTTCAAAAATAATGCATGTTTAAAACACATTTTTATCATGTTTTTCGCATTTATAATTCAAACTACTACAACCCTTCTGTAGCTCAGTTGGCCTTGATGAGATTACACCAATCAACATATGTGCCAGAGGGGTGGTGGATTGTTGATCCCTTATGAAGATAAGTTGATATGATTGCACCAATCAAAATATTTGTCATAGGGGTGACATAATAATGAGTCCTTATTAATACAAGACATGTAAGTTGATGGTATTACACCATTCCACATGAGTTGACACTGGTGGTGATGATGATGATGGTGATGATGATGATGATGATGATATCATGATGATGATTGTAAGTGTGGAGCAACGTCCAGGTTGGGCGGAACATATTGGATCTAACATGCACTTGCTTGCACAACCTGATGGAAAATGAAAATTAAAAGTCAATTTGTTTTTGAAGTACCTGCTGCATACATACCCTCTGGTAATTTAACATAGCTATTGAAAATGGTCATTTATAGTGGATTTACCCATTAAACATATTTAAAATGGTGATTTTCCATAGTTATGTTAGATTACCAGAGGGTCGTACATATATCATCAGAAACTCATCAACAAATCTTGTAAAGTTGGACAAATGACACAAGTGTCTTGGTGCATCTGCTTCACAAGTCTCAGCCTCTGAAAAATCAACGACAGTTTGGCACAGAGTTTGTATATGCAATCAACCAGCTGCAGCTTAGCTTTCACATATTCAACATCAAAAATCACTATATCCATCTCAAACTTGAAAAGCTATAAATATACTCTCTGGATCTCTCTGGCAAACACACCTGGCAGTGTGATTTCACCATTTCCCATTAATTTTCATCAATATAAATTAAGGAATTCCACTTGCCACATTTCTTTTTTGCAGCCGGCTACATCCGACAGTTCTGGCCCTTTACCAGTTATAACTCAGTTATAGCCCGACCTTATGGAAACATAACCCTTTAAACATATTGGTATATACAACCATTTATACCTGGTGAAGAGCTTTAACTGACTGACATGTTCATTAACATCCTCCACGTCCAAGGGTCTGCGTCCGTTGCGTCCGTTGCGCGCGTTGCGCGTGCGACATCGGCGGCGAAATTCTCAGGGGACCCCAGGTCAATAGCACAGCCAGGTGACACCGCGCCGACGTCGTCGATCCAATCCAAACGAAACACCTGGGAGTGCGGACGGCGGACTGGGGTGTATCATAATTTATGGGTAGAACTCATGTTCATGTTGGTAACCTCAGTATATAACCCCCTAGAACTATCTGTAACTATCGTATACTATGCTTACATATCCCCTTTGCTTAGTGGAACTGCACCTCCTTATCCATCCGCCGTTCCCAATGTTTGGGTCGTGAATGATTAGATCCAATACTAAACTGGGGATCGTACGGGGGTATTAACATTAGGGGAAAGCGGAAAAGATGAGTCTGAAATTTGGCAGATAGCCAACGTATATTCACAGGGAACTTTTGAAGCGTCCATCTCCGTTTGCCACGAATTCTATCTTTGCTGACCATTCCAAGTAATCCCTTAAAGGGGGCCCCAAACCCATAGTTTTCCCAACATGGTTACACTTTCCAAGGCGTAGGAAACGTGGGACCATCTAATTTCATTTCTGGTTGGTTTTAACCCATCCCAAGAATATGCTCGTCATCTCAACCAATCACTTCAAGTATGGTTGAAAAACAATCAGCCTTTAAACTCCGCAACCAGAGGAGGTTTTTCCTAACATGGATGGTTTATAATTGAGCATCCTATTAACATGGATGACTTGGGGGTACCCCCATTTTGGGAAACTTTCACATAATATAATTTGAATAGCACGACCCAAAAAACACATAAGACACCCCTACCACAGCCTCCAGCTTTCCCTGCAGTGCCGCAGGGTGCTGCTGCAAGTTTTTCAAGTGCCCGGGAAGGCAATCGGTGACGCTGGTGCAGTAGCCGATGGCATCGGCGGCCAGGCCGGCTAAGGCCACTCCGCACCCGAACCTCGGAATTCACAGGATCATCCCAGGGTCCTCCTCAGTGGTTGGTCCCTTCGTGGGTCCCATCAAATGGATGAGAACTATATATTCACTATGGTTCTTAACTACATCTAAAAATGGACTATAACTGTGGACTAAAATGGTTTTATCCACTTATATACAACATGCTTATAGAAACCACTTACTATAAGGGACAATGATCCAAGAAGCGTTGCTGGCTCCCCACGGGTTGTTTGGAATCCTTGGAACTGGAAGATCTGTGGACAGAATCAAAACTATACATATACTATAACTTATGGTATAGGTATAGCTTTGATTCTGTCCACAGATCTCACCATCTATAACTTATAACGTCAATGGACCCAGAAAGAATGGCAAGCACCCCATGCTTCCTATTCTAATCCCTTTTCATGGCTCAACCGAAGGTAGGAAAAAAAATCGCGCCTATAGAGATCACCTCAATGTTTAGGGAAGCCCGTTGGAAAGCCACGAGGTGAGCAAGGGCTTCACCAAAGGAAACGCCCCCTGGCAACGGAAAGTTCCTTATATGATTGGTTAAATAAAAATGAGGCTGCCCGTAGATTTCGTACTTTAAGCAACCCCAGGATGCAACTAAAGTAGTCGTGCCGGCCACGATTTGCAAATCCGAAGAAAGATTTTGCTACCAAAATTTGCCAATATGGAGAAACTATAGCTTCTCGGCTCCCAATTTTACTTTAAGAATATAGATGCCCCAGCTGCGAACGGCTCCCTCCTAACCACTGGATAGATAAACATGTGGATTTTGGATTACCCCATGTTCAATGGGAATTTCATTCACGACCGTAAAATAGAGGTGCTGTAACATATAAAGCCATACTTAGGGGGCATATCCCTTACATAGCCCTGAGGCATTTTGGTAGGTACCCTCTGGTAATTTAACATAGCTATGGAAAATTACCATTGACAATTCTTGAAACTCATCCAGGTCATCAGCCTCCGAGCAACTCAATGGCTTTGGCACACGGCCCCAGCCCTTGGAAAATCGGACCGTCAACATCGGCCACAGCTAACGCCAGCCTCAAGACATGGTGACCCGGCAGGGATTCTGAAGCGGCGGAGGGCTTAGGTTCCGCTGATCCTCGATTCTTGCGACTAAGATATGATAAACTGGGTACGGTTGAGGAATAATTCTATATGTAAATACTATATATACCCTCCAGTAAATCAACATAGACCCTGCCAGATAGGGGTTGGAAGACTAGTTTCCACTATAAATTGGTCATTTTCAGGGTCTATGTTAATATGTTAATTTACCAGAGGGTAATATTTATATACCCTATCTCTAGTTGGTTGGTTTGGTTTTAGAAAAATACCCAAACCAAGCAACTAGAGATCTTGGAGTTCCCCTCTCCGGACATGGATACCTGTCATCAGCCCATGCCGTGCATGGCTACCTTGGAAATTTCGATTACCACACCAAATACAAGTGTTAATTCCATATGATTCAATTATATGCATGTACACGTATCTAAAAACATTCATATATATATATGTATATAATAGTTCTAATATAACTACAATTCATTGTACAATATATAATATAATATAATATAATATAATATAATATAATATAATTTACTATGCTATACTAAAAAATATAATATAATATAATATACTATACTATACTAAAAAAATACAATATAATAAAACATAATACAATAAAAAATCAAATAGTATTATATAATAATATATATATATATAATAAAATAAAAATAATGTAATATAAAATAAAAAATAATGTAAGATAATAAAATGTAATATACTATAATGTAATAACATATCATAAAATAAGTTTAAATATAATACAATATAAAATAATACAGTATAATATAATGTAATAAAATATATAAAACATAATATAATACAATATAATAAAATATAGTAATGTAATAGAATACAAAATAATATATAATAATAAAACATAACATAATATAATATAATATAATATAATAAAACATAATATAGAATAAAATAAATATAATGTAATATAATATAAAAATAAAAAATGTAATATAATATAATGTAATATAATATAACGTAATAAAATATAATAACATAAGTTTTAATACAATACATTATAGTATAATATAATAAAATATAATATAATATAATGTAATATAGTATAATAAAATAAAATATGATATAATATAATATAATATAATAAAACATAATATAGAATAAAATAAATATAATATAACATAATATACACACTCCTTGATATCAGCTCCCGCGCGACTGCATGACTGAATTAAACTGACCATGCTGGCATATACCATGCATTTTAGTACCAGTCGCTTTGCAAACAAGGACTATCTCTGGATATCTTCTCCACCCCTCTTGCAGCACAAACTTTGGAAGCCAAATAAACCATGGTGTCAACTCCATCTGAGCGACATGGGCCATTAAAAATCATTACACCTGTCCTATCTCATTCTACCGCTTAGTTAATAGGTTTCCATAGGTTTGCCTATGGCTTATCATAACCCCCATTGAACTATGTATATAGTATAATCCCTTGCCTTACAACAACCAATCAACAATGCTATTTCAATAGCTCACATCACGTTGCAACAAAGGAACCATAAGGCCGACGGTGAGAATCGACAGCCAGTCCATCCATCAGCCATACTCACCTAAAGTACGAGAAACCACAGGTAGGTGACATTGGGTGACGGTGAGGGTTGGTACGGCTTCCAAAACACGGTGGCTGGCAGTGGTACATAGGCATGTTCAAAATGAAGAATATTTGAATTACGTTGAAATGGGGTTATCTTGTGAACTGCATTGACAATTATCATTGAAACATATTGAAACAGCCTTGGCTGGGGTGAATTGTGCGTGTTTTCACAGGGGTTGATGAAGGACCGCTGGCAACAGCTAATGCTAGGTCTGCTCGGTCAACGGGGCACCTTTTGTTTCAGGGATCGTCCCAATTTACTGGTCATTTGAAGAGGGAACATGGACCATCCAATCCGGTTCATCCATTTTCCCTTATAGAACATATGGTTGACATAAAACAATAAAGGGTTTTCAATATAATGATGAACCATTTGGCAATTGGTGAATCTATATATAATTTATACTATAAAAGGGCAATTTGAAAAATACTTTACTTCGCGTGATCCCCACCATGACATTTATACATTTTCTTACTGGCAAATCTTCTGGCATTCTATCTGACATATCTTCTGACATTCTATTTGGCATTCTATCTGGCATATCTTCTGGCATATGATCTGGCATATCTTCTGGCATATCTTCTGGCATTCTATCTGGCAAATCTTCTGCCATTCTATCTGGCATATCTTCTGGCACTCTATCTGACATATCTTCTGGCATTCTATCTGGCATATCTATCTGGCATATCTTCTGGCATATTTTCTGGCATTCTATCTGGCATATTCTATCTGGCATATCTATCTATCTGACATATCTTCTGGCATTCTATCTGGCATTCTGGCATATCTTTCTGGCATATATTCTTCTGGCATTCTATCTGGCATCTTCTGGCATATCTATCTGGCATATCTTCTGGCATATCTATCTGGCATATCTTCTGGCATATTTTCTGGCATTCTATCTGGCAAATCTTCTGGCATTCTGGCATCTATCTGGCATATCTTCTGGCATATTATCTGGCATATCTATCTGGCATATCTTCTGGCATATCTTCTGACATTCTTTCTGACATTCTTTCTCACTTTCTTCTGCACATTCTTTGTCCCATATCTTCCTACATGAGGTCCGGCAGGGAACACTGGGCGCGGATGGTCGCGGTTGAGGTCCGGCAGGGAACACTGGGCGTGGATGGTCGTGGTTGAGGTCCGGCAGGGAACACTGGGCGTGGATGGTCGTGGTTGAGGTCCGGCAGGGAACACTGGGCGTGGCTGGTCGTGGTTGAGGTCCGGCAGGGAACACTGGTCGTGGATGGTCGTGGTTGAGGTCCGGCAGCGAACACTGTGGATCGCGGGTCGCAGTTGGACGAGGACGACGAGGACGACAAGGACGACAAGGAGGACGAGGAGGAGGCAGGAGGCAGGAGGCGGCAGGAGGAGGAGGCAACTGACATAAAATCTAACAACCCTCACCTGGCAGGTGGGGAAAAATATCTGAAATTTCTGAAGTGCACCTAGTAACATTCTGGGCCCAAATAAGGACAAACCCAAATCCGCCAACACGCTGATTCTTGAAGTGGTGGAGCCCGCTGCATCAGTCATCCAATCTCTTAGACTCTTAGCCGTTTGGCGAATGATTCAAGGTGGGGGGGTTCTAGCTGACTTGCTTTGGAACTACAGTATCTTGGATTTATAGGGGATATGATACATTATGAGTGAAAGTGAGAAAAGTCAACAATAAGTGGGGGGCACCGCCTTTTAGTGGTGATAGTACTACAATGTACTACATATACCCACCAAGATCCACCTACACTGGAACTTTTGGCTACCGAAGCATCTGCTGCACAGGCTTATCCGTTCATTAAATCTCTCAAACCCGCCTGTGCACAACCCAACAAGGAACCAAATAGGAACCAAACAGAAGACATCGTGAGATGTTCACATGGCAGAAGGATACTACGTTTATGTCTCAAAAGAAAATTGATTGGTTCCCATGGAGATTGGCCCAAGCCATCCCATTTCTTTCGACCAGTCACCTCTTGTACTTGTACGACTGGACCGCCTACGCAACTCGAACGATGGGAGACTCAGTCTGACCTTTCGAAAGGTCGGGTCATCCCAAACTATCGTATCAGAATGTACGTTTTAACCCGTCCCCAAATATCACCATACTATATGGGTTTCTCTGGAATTTTAAAGGGACAAAACATGTTTGTTGATCATCATCTTCCCTGTTGAATGGCCTATAACATGATTGTTGGACAAAGCATGACAAAGCCATACGGTCCAGGGTTAAAACGTTCATGTTCTCGGTATAGTCATCCAACTATAGTTGTACTGGGTATATAGTCACCCAATGAATTGATGATGATTCCTGCTAGGTGCTTTGATCAACAAAAACACGCTTGACCAAGGCACATCTTGTTGGAGCCCTCCAGGATTTATTGGGATTTATTGGGATTTATTGTTTCTATTTCACTTACCAAAGTAATCCCAAGTCAGACTTTTCAGACTTCCCTAGTGAGGCATGGATCCTATAGTTGGAGCATCAGCTCAGTGAACTGATTCATACCTCTGATTAGTAATCTATAAATGGCCCGTGACAATGGTCATTAACTCAACACCACTATTGATGGTAATGAACATGTGTTTTTCTCCCCACTGTTGATGGTTGTAGCGTTGCCCAAAAAAGGATAGACAGGTGTTTCCAGCGATGGTAGTTCGATGATATCGACCTCTTTCCTAGGTTTCTAGTTTTCCTATGATTTGGAGTTGCTATATACAAGCTGGGGCCCCCAAAAAAAAGTGTGGCCCCATAGACAGCCACCCTGGATAAGTACAATACTTTGCTGGGGGGATATATCTAACTAGTCAGATAGGATTATAAATAAGCAACTATTAGCATGGGGTCCCACCTTGTACCAATGACCAATGACTATTTGTTTGCACCAATGACTATAGCTATTGTAAGGAATGTTAAAACCATCTTGTACCAACTTATGCGAATAAACAAAATACATCCCCCCAGATGAGGTTACAAGCCAACCATTACCCCCTGGCAAACTAACATAGCTATTGAAAATGGCCATAGAAATAGTTGATTTACCCAGCTAAAAATGGTGGATCTTTCCATAGTTTTTTGTATGTTTACCAGAGGGTAATCAACATTAACCATAACTATAACCATTATTATTTATCCATTATTAACCACTACTAACCACTATTAACCACTATTAATCGATGGGGTTCTGAACCAACCAATGCCTGGTGCAATTTCCACTGTCACCTGCAAGGCATCTCCACCTGCGACAAGATCGATGACCGAGAAATCGCGATCAATGGGGGAGAAATCATCAAAGATCCTGGAAAATGGTGGATTTACACGGTGAAATTTATGGAAATTTCTGATTGAATCGTCAAAGATGCTGGAACATGGGGGATATCTAAGTATCAAGCCATAGGACGTGTTTGGATGATGCAACTTGGTGATGTGTGGGATATGGCTCATGGGATGCATGCAAACAACAATATTCTGTTTGGGTCTTAAGTTGTGATATATCAAATTAGACCCAAACAGATTTGTTGCATTGATTAGCATGTTAATCGATATTAGAGGCATTTCAAGCCTATTCACGCTTCTGATTTGTGGATGGACAGAAGGAATCTATGTGGATTTTGTCTAGTGGAAACGGATGACTTCGGTGAAGTTTGGTACCTTTCCGGCGCTGTACTTTTAACAATCTCATATCGTTGATATCATCCAATATTCATTGTTCACATGTCATCTGATGCAAGATGGGCCGCTGCAGGGTAGCTTCACAACTGGTTTTATGAGCCCACTTGGAACTAGGACGAGATCAAGTCCAAGTTGCAGGGCTAGGTCAACGGCTGTTGTGAGGCTACACCCTAACCCGATACGGCGGACTTCATCCTGGATGCAAATTTCCCAAGGTCAGGCAAAATGCTCAAGACCTCCTCAAGAGCCTTACCCAGGTGATGGCAAACCGTCCGAGTGCCAGGTGCTTCTTACAGAGGATGTTCTCGAACTCACAATTCTCCCTGCTCGCCCAGTCTTGCATGATCCGATGTTGGAAATCGAGGTGCGTGCTTGCGTACTGGAAAGTAACTGGGTTGGAGAAGGAGAGGTCCCATCAAAGAAATCGTTCAAGAGAGGTACATACGAGGTACATTTGAGTGTCAACATTGGGTACCAAAACATGAAACATCATATGTCCCCAGGACGGAAAAAAAAACACAAACATTTGGTGTTGTCTCACAATTTGGAACCCTCTTCCGTGGCATGGTCAAACATGCGAACAACAATTTGATAAATGCACTAGTTTGACTCACCCTCATGTGGGTTTGACTGAAAATACCCCACATCCAACGCTTCATCGTCATGTGTTTGATTAAAAGTGATTAGGGTACCCAGTTTAAGTCACTATCTGCGTATGTATACATAAAATTATTATACCTGGATATGGTTTGCATGACATGGTGAATCTTGGATACACTGCGATTGTTCTGAAACTATAGTTTGTAGATATTCCCTATTTGTAGCCAAAAATAAAGCAATCCCATCCCTATATGATAATTATTAAATACCCCTCTCTGACCCCCTGGTTTGATACTGGATCTAAGGATGTATTTGAGGAGTCCTGTGAGGTATTTCTTATGAAGGGAAGGAACTTCAAGCTCGTTTATATCCCATGTATTTTTTTTTGATATATGTGAAATTGCGGTTATGTCCAATATCAACCCAGGATTTATCCATAAACCCCATAATTTAATCTTTCGGGAATCTTGGGGGGGCATCACCTGTAAAACGGAAATATCACTACCAGTAGGAGCGCACAAAGCGGTGGCGGAAGTTTCAAAGATAGGAAACTATAGGACAGGTGCTTTGTTGTGATGCATGGATGGCAGAGCGAACCCACTGATTGGTCGAAAAGTGGTTGAGGCTCTGGGTCTCACTCTCTCTGTGTCACTTTCTCTCTGTGTCTCTCTATCTTTCCCTCTGTCTATCTATCTGTGTATCTATCTCTAGTGTAGTGTAGTGTAGCGTAGGTGTAGTTGTAATTGTAGTTGTAGCTGTAGTGCAGTGTAGTCTAGTGCAGTGTTGTAGTGTTGTGTAGTGTGGTGCAGTGTAGTGAGTAGTGTAGTTGTAGTCTAGTGTAGTTGTAGTTGTACTTGTACTCAAGCTGTACTTGTAGTTGTACTCAAGCTGTACTTGTAGTGTAGTGTATTGTAGCGCAGGGCAATCTAGTGTTGTGTAGTGTTGTGTGGTGTCTTGTGGTGTACTTGTGATCTACGGTAGTTGTAGCTCAAAAAATCCCAATAAAGGTCGTCCGAGACCATCAGTTTTTAACACTTTTGACTTGCAAACGTGTTTCGCGCCTCAACGGCGTGCACTTTTTTGACAGAGAGCGTCAGTTTCCACAACTGCAGGCACGTTTTGGGCATCTCAACGTCCAAAAGCTGCCCGAGAGCGTCAGTTTTTAGCAGGTTTGACTCGCGAATGTGCTTCGCACCACAACTGCATGCTCCTTTTGAACATCTCAACTTCCAAAAGTGCTCCGAGGCTGAGGTGTTGTGTGCAGTTTGGCTTCAAAATGTGCTTCACGCCATAACGGCGTGCAATTTTTGATCTCTCATCTCCCCAGATGGCTCCGCTTTAGCGAGCTTACTTTCGACCCTCCGGAGCCCCAAAACATTAAAACACAGTGCTTCGCTGCTTTTCTACCTTTTCGCACACCTTGTTCCTTCTTTCTTATTATCCTTTTCTCTTCCCTGATCTTCTGCCTTCTTTCTCTTCTTTGACTCTTCTTACCTCTATTGCTGCATCTGTCCATGTGTCGGAAGTTTGACTTCTAAACTTCCTTCGATAAACTGGACATCGCCCATGTTAATACTCTCGGGATCCCCCATCGAATTTCAGGGGAGACGGGGAGACGTTGTGACCCTAACTCTGTAGGTTACAAAAATAATTCACAAGCTTGGGGCTATAGAATGAGGTTGCTGAGCTCTATTTTTCCCAAATGGCCCTAGCTACAAAATGCCAATTCATTTTCAACAACCTTGATATAGGAGGAATTATCCCGTTACAAAATGCGCCTGCGTTTTCAACAACTGCACATACAAGGACATACCCTTTGCTACAAAATGCCAATGTCGTTTTCAAGAACTGCACGCGCAAAGGGACATCTTTGATGCGAAATGCCACGTTGGTTTCAACAAGACTTACATCCACCAATATATATCGAGCATGTGCTACAACGTGCCCATTTGATTTTGATGAACCGGCCCGTATGAAGCTCATCATGTTTTCTTACAAAATGCCACTGCAATTTTCATGATGGGCTAACATGATTATATAAAATGTTTCCTTTATAAAATGAGATTCACAAGTTTAAGCTACAAAATCTTGGACCTGGATTTCATGTCAGGGTTCGCCTGACTAAAATGGAAGCCTCTGTAAGAGGCACAAGCCACAAACTTCGTAGCTTAAATTCGTAGAGATATCTCGGGCACAACCTTTTGGCTTACATCGGCTTCCCACACGCCCACTGTCACCTTCGCGCCCTGCTTTGGTGCTGCACAGCAAGCGCATTCGCTCTGGCTTCCCGAAGCAGCGCTGCAGGAACTTCCGCGCGTGCTCGTAGGAGACATGGCGTGACATGGATCGGGAGGATTTTTTTCAAGAGAAAATTCCACGGGGAAAGGCAACATATATCGCGGAACTACTGTGAAACAAGTAATTTTAGTTGAAATTGAATCTTTATGACATGAATCCCCAAAATTCATCCCAAAATTAATAATTAACCCTATACATACGATTATCAATTCAGGGATTTGTTGTGAGTTCACAATGTTCACGCACTTTCTTCAAACTGAATAAGTTTCCCAGTTTTAACCCGGATGCCAGTTCCTAGTCATCAATCCTTACTTCCGTAGGATCCAAGAGACCCCATGTCATCAGGTTTGGCAGCTCTGAACCTTGGGATTTTTGAACAACTTGGACGACTGCAACACAGCGGCTCAGAAGGAATTGAATGAAAACCTTACTGACCTCAGCGAATTACATCAAATTATCTTCATTCCAGAAGTTTGGAAAATTAAAGCAAAAATATGAATGATTTCAGATCTTAATGTTTTATGGCGAGTTCATTCAAATGTAGTTGCGAGGTTGCGGTACTTTGCCCCAAATCATCGAATCTACCCTATACCGCCTATACCCCCTTCATAAGAAATGTTTTACTGGGAGACCAGATTAAATCACATACCCTCTGGGAATTTAACAGTTCGCCATGGAAAATCAACAATTAATTATTCAGTTTGGATAAGTTTGGTACATCATCGAACTTTATTTGATCATCCGTAGCTATGTTGAATTTCCATCAACATTCTAGGAACATAAAACACCAACCATTCACCAACCGTTCATCCAGGTCTCCCCAGAAAGATTGCCGCCGCCATGTGTCTCAACACAGCAGTGTTTTTCCCAGGCAAATCTAAGGGTCTCTATCGCCCCACTGGTGGCTTCAACTCGCGAGATCACCATTTGATGTAGGGAAATAACCAACATGTTGATCCTTCTGTCATTTGATTTAAAGGGAAGTTTTCTATAGGGGCCGGGGAACCACATGTGTTTCGCATGAAAGTCATTCGGAGCTTCCTCTCAAATAAAAGCTCAACAGGATCCAACAAGAAACACACCATGATTCACTTCAAATCTCACATACCCTGGAAACACCTGGAAACACCTGGAAACACCTGGAAACACCTGGAAACACCTTTTGTTTTTGCCAATGTTTTCTCGAACGCCGGTGTCAAGCCTCGCGCGGTTGATCCGCGCAAGGCCCAGCACCGACCTCAAATTTCCGACACTGCTTGCGACTAGCCTGACGGCCAGCTGGTTTTGACCCAAGTGTTCCCTCAAACGTTGACCCACAGGGTGTCCAAAAATCTTCATGCTCGTCCGTTCACAGCAATGAACATTGGGGCCTATGCCAAACATATTTGATATCTTACTATTCGAACAGCTCCTGGAACCTCCTGGAGTCAGGCTAATGACAAACACAACAACGCCCAGCTCGACACATGAAAGATTTTAAAACCTCTCATGGTCGCGCACAGCAACGATATGTACGAGTCCTAGTGGGATCGGCTTCTTGTACCACTGGAGTGCTTATGATTACTATACACAGGAATCAAAGATCCACATGAAGTGGCTAACTTGACAGATCTTCAAGTTCCAAACGTCAACCGCATCAGTTGGTGCTCAAAAAATGATACAGCGTTAGTGATGGGGGAAAAACAACTGCTGACAATGACAACGGTGTTTTGAAATTTGGCACCAGTGAAACCAATCCAACAGTGGCCAGAATCCTACATTTGAAGATACAGCCACACTCCCGTTTCAGGAGTGGAAAATGATCACACATCTGCAAATGAGGAGACAATAGCAGTTCACATATCGTTTTTGCGATGCAAAACAACGTAGTATAACTCTTGTGTACCCTCTGGTAAACTAACATAGCTATGGAAAATCACTATTTAAAATTTAATGGGTAAATCCACTATTTCTATGGCCATTTTCAATAGCTTTTTGTTAGTCATAACCAGAGGATATCTGAGTATCATATCCAAACAATTGTCTATGGGCTATCGCAGAAACAGGGCTACCGATGGGACCATTAGCATCCATTAGCACCCGAGGCCTTGTCTTGGTTGGTTGTGATCTTGGTTAAAGAAGCAGTGTGGTCTGTGAAATATCCAGATGTTCAAGTTTGGTTTCTTCAGATTACATCGTTCATAGTATTATGTAATAGTTATTATGATAATTACTGCTATGTTGTTCACATCATCTATTGCGTTATATGTTATTGTTATGTAATATCATTATTATATACTATACTATTAAATATACTATTACCCATAGGATCCATGTATGCTATATATGGTAACATTTACCATCAATATACCCCCAACGTTAGCATCTGTACCATATGTCATTGTCTCCGCATCACTTCCGAGGACCGCTGCTTTCATTAACGTCAGCATGGCTGGCCTGGCACCAGTTGGCAAGGGCGATGAATGGAGGCAGGGCAGATACTGTCTACAATCTGGATATATATATATATATAATATGGATATATGGATATAAATATATCTATAAATATAGATGATTTCAATCTGTGTAGTCTTGCAAACTACATAATTCATATGTCCATCTTCAATATCAACCTTAGGAATGACACATATAACTTTTGTATTTCTTTGGTATCAAAAAAACAACGTCTGCATGATCTACATGTGTGATTTCCTTGTTACATGTACTATGCACATGGACGACCTGACACCACCCGAAACAGTCCTACCTTCAACATCATCAAAAGTCCACAGGAATTGGTGTTCAACCCAAACTGTGTCTTTTTTGTCCGAAAGCGGGGAACATAACTAACAAAAACCAACTCCATGTTACATCGAATTCATGCTACCATGATCATTTTGCTGTGTCTTATGCATGTGTGCTTGGGGGTGTTCCAGTTATATTTAAATGGGTATAGAACAATATTAGAGTTGTTTAATGCTTTTTAGGGGGCTCACTATCCCCGGCCAAGCTGCCAGCAACGATGAACCATCAAGGAACCATTCGGAGATGCCTCAATCGGAAGTTGATCCTAAGGAAAGTCGCAATGCCACTGAAATATCTGAAATGCATTCCCTACAATGTGAGGCCCCCAAGATAGCTAAGTTGGTATACAACTCCAATAACTATGGTTTATGGTATCTATCACATTTTATAACTATAGTTACTGGGGCTTATAAACCAACTTATATCTTGGGGGCCTCACATTGTACAAAACGTGCAGCAGCCAACTCATATACAGGAGGGTGTCCTATAGTTGGTTCCCGAGGGTGGGAAGCAATGATTGAAACAACATATAAACAACTCGATATGTGAAGAATACACATGAGCAATTTCGCTATTTTCAGACAAACCCACATGATCTATATGGATTCATATGGCTTCTTTAATGACTGTCAACCTGCATCTGGATGTGTTTTGCTCAGCGCCCAAGAGCAGGCCAATCCTTGGTGGCTTTGCACCTGTCCAGTTTTTCACACCCGACAGTACACGGAGTCACCCTTCAGTATCTCTTGGAGAAGCTCAGGGGCGCCCTGCGCCAGATCTGCAGCTGAGAACTTCCGCAGATTGCGGAGATCCAGCCGTGCTCCTTCACGGAGCAGGATCGTGGCAGTCTCGTAGTTCCCACGTAGCAAGGCTAACATCAGAGGCGTTGAGCCAAACAAATGATAGGAGCCATGTGTTAGAGCAGTGTCCGTCCCACATCGATAGCGCAGAGATTGGAGGGCCACCAAACTTCCAAAAGGCGTTAACCATCGAAACTGGTAGCGCTCATCAATGTTGGCCCTCAGCTCAATGAGCCGGCGAGTGATTTGAGTGGCCCCTCCTCGAGAGGAGGCAGTTGTGTGGAGGAGTTGTGAGATGTTGACACCTCGGCTCAACAGTTCCTCCAAGACACCCAGTGAATTCGCATCGCACGCATTGATCATTGCTCCAAAACCCAAGAGGTTTCTCTCCTTCTTGGGATCGCAGCCAGAATCGAAAAGAAGGCGGATCCCCTCTACATTGTTGCTCAAAGCAGCTAAGTGCGAAGCAGGGATTAGCATGCCATCCTCCTGAACTTTTGCTTTGCCCTCAATCAACAGCCGTGCAGCGTCATGATGCCGACACAGCAGTGCAAGTCCAAGTGCTGACACCCATGCGGGTATCTCCAACAAAGGTTGTGTCTTGCGCGTAGTCCGTGTAGGATCTGCCCGCTGTTGCAGCAAGGCTTTGATCAGCTGCGGCTCACCATCCAAAGCAGCATAGTGCAAAGGCATAAAGCCAGCACTGTCTACTTCATGCAGGCTCCAGAAGCCATTTTGGTACAAAAAATGCTCCACGATTGACACTGAGTCATCTGCGCCAGGAACAAAACCTGGCACAACATCTTTCTCCAACTCAGCTGGAAGACCTCTCAAATAAACACTCTGCAGGTTGCGGACTATGCGGTAAGTCACAAAATCTCCTTCGCGCAAAGCTTTGCGCATTTTGCCTCTGAGGGCAGCCTCAAGGACAGGACCAAGTTTGACTTTGTCGGTGGCCACAGCAAAGTCTCCTTCGCCCGTTGGGCAGCTAGGAGCCCTGGATGCCACCACCAACTCGAGACGTTCCGCGCTCTTGATCAAAATCCAAGAGCCATCAGAAAGCTCCCGCATCGTCCTTTCCAACCTGCACCAACCTCTATCGCCCCAGCTCGACGGACCGAGCACTCTGGATGTGACAAGGTCCTCAAAAAAGGGGCAAAGTGCAAAAAAGAAAGAACACTGTGTGACATACGCGTGGATGCTCGCAATCGCTTTAGCAAGCTGGCTGTCTGGGCCTTGTGATTCCTCCAGCTGTGGGCATGAAAAGTAATCGTACCAAATGAACAACTTTTCCGATCGAAATTCTTGCGTTGCCAGGGGCTTGGCTTTTGCAACATATGTCTCAGTGACAAAATCCAAGGGTATTTGGTGAAGACGGTCAGATAAAATGTTTTTCATGGAATCCTGAAATACACGAAATTGCTCGAAAGTGGGATCTGGATGGCTCTTTCCAGCCCACTGGTGTGAGACAAACACTGCCTTCCCTAAATTCTTCTCGAATTTGACCAAAAGGCCCCTTTCCTTCAGCTTTTCATGTGGCTCGACACAACTCATCTGTAGAGCCTCTTCCAGCGGCACTGTATACATCGGGAATGGAATGGTGGCCTCTGCTTGCATCTCAGCCTGCAAAGATGCAGCATGACGGGCCAAAGGCGTTGCACGGCGAGAGTTGCAAAATGGCATTGTCCGGAACATTCGGGGCCAATGGGCGCCAGTCACACCCAGGTGTATCCCAATATAACTCGTTTTTTCACCACATATCACCAAATATCACCAAGATCAACTATCTTTATCCTCCAATAAACTCACATATGTTCATGGAAAATCACCATCTAATTCAAGGGAATCATCTGCAAATGGACCATGTTACATAGCTATGTGCCACTCTAGTGACGCACCATCTTTGAAGCAATCTTGGGCCCCATCTGCGGCGACAATTTTGTGCAAGTTGGTCATCATTTTGTACGGCATGATGCAGCCAAAATATGGTCAAAATGAAAAAAGTCATCTTCAAAGCTGTATAGTTATTCTTTTACTGAAGCATTTTTACAAATATATAATTATATAATATATATATATATAAATACATGTTCCAGAACCAATAGATATTTGTTCAGGTAAAGAGTGGTAGCAGAACAAAAACACCTTTTTGACCATCATAGGTCCTGAGACGTTCATGCAACCATCAAGCTGCACTGACTCAATCCTTGGTACCGAGCCTCTGAGGGGCCTGATATTTCAGTCACCACAGGCCTATGGTGACGCAACTGGACCCAAGCATATGGTTTAAACCCAGTAGACCCAACCAAACTAACATTTTTCAACATGTCACTGACACATACCATGCTGGCAAAAGCCGTTGATTCTTATTGCTTTGCAGGAAAGCAAACATAGCCCATGCAACAAACTTCACTTAAATCAAACGTGCCAGCAGGACATTTGCAAGACTTCTGATCATTTGGGGGTGCTCAATTCTCAGATGTTTTTTCACATCAACATCGCCATAATTTGAGAGCCCACCAAACAGTTTGAGACAACCTTAGAATGTTCAATTGCTGGATTCTTGATTCATTCAATGGTTTCTGAATACCATGTGTTTTTGAATCATTGATGGTTACCTTCTCTTTTGGTTGTGGCTCAAACCTATTGGTGCCATTTTGGGATGCCTAGCTTCTCATTTCTCAACCATTTCTCTAGATTATGTTTCATTGTGGATACAGGCGTTTGATCAACAACCTAATAACATTTATTATAGCATTGCTTTTGAATCATTGAATGATATTAAATCAATATGTTTCAATCCTTTCATACACTAACCCTAAGTCATAGCTGGTAAATGGATGATTCAATTATTCCCCTATGGTAGTAATGTGGGTAACACATTCATAAACCATCTCCAATTTCACCATAAATAGTTGGTATAAATCATTCCCAAATGGGTGGTTTATGGCATTGTTTTACCCACATTAATACTGGTTGGTGGTTTCAATCCCTCTGAAAAATATTAGTCAATTGGAAGGATTATTCCCAATCTATGGAAACATAAAAAATGTTCCAAACCACCAAACAGTATATATATATAAACCACTATTAACTATTAACCCACTATTAACCATTATTAACCACTATTAACCACCAATCAGATATAAAAGCCATGTTCCAAACCACCAACCAGTTAATGGATTTTGACCCATCCCCATTTCTCTCTTTTGTGGTTCTCTCCCAGCTTGAGCCTCCCCGGAAATCCCATGAAATCCACGCCTCCCCTCGGTGGCTCAAGCGTCATGAACGCCAGGTGTTGAGGGCCTAGGCATCGGTGGCAAACCACCTCTGGTGCAGGATCTAGATGAATCTTGATATCCATGACTTTTGACGCCATGTACAGGATCTAGAAAATAATCATGATTGATCATGTTAAAAAAAACATCATTAAGGATCGAGACTGTCCAGACATCTCTTTAATTTACCCATAGAACGGCTATTGTTCTTCAGGTTTTGACCGTAACCCACGGGATACTAACCATTAATTCAATTCAGAATTGATACAAGTGAAGATCATTCAAGATCCAGATTCTACTTCTGGGTCAATGGAGAGATGTGGTTGATGATCTACAATACCATATCTGGTTGGTGGTTTCAACCATCTTGAAAAATATGAAAGTCAATGGGAAGGGTTATCCCATATATGAAGCGGAAAATAAAATTCATGATTGAAACCACCAACCAGTCATAAATGATCCTATAATATTTATGGTCAATTTTTTAACATCCCTCCATTTGGTTGATGCTCTACAATACCTTTCAGGAATATCAAAGATCCAGATTTTTTAGGCGAAAATCGCCTTGCGCGTGAGCCTTTGTTCTGTTCACACTAAATTAATTCATCAAACTGAATATCCTTGGCATGTCCGTTGACCCATTTTGGGTGACCCATTTGGGATCGTCATGAACCATGTCTACATATGCTTACATTGTACATTGCTCGATGAGCCCAAAATTTAGTGATGTTTCGGAAATTCGAGATTTCATCGCTTATAACTGGCATAGCCAATTAGTGATGTTTATGTCTAGGTATATCCTTAATCCTTATAACTGGTGTAGGTGTTAATGCAGGCTCTTTGATCCACGTAGCAACCATGTACTGTGTTGATCATCCATGTGGGAAAAGCTGGTGGCGGCTTTTTTTTTAATGTCAAATTCATTCTCCCAAAAAACTCTGCTGTTTTGGGGTATGCATACTAACCAGCTATCTTGTCAGTATTTAGTTCCATGAAATATTCATTGTTGAGTATAAATAGCCATTAAACAAAAATAACCAATATTTATACTCTTTAGCCATTAAATATTCATTTTTGTTGGGTATAAATAGCCCCTTATTAACCATGATTAACCATTAGTAACCACTGGCCATGAGGCCGTTGGCTCCAAAAACCACCAACTGCATCGAGACTTTGGGCCTTTTCCTCGCTGGCTAACGTCTCGGGTCTCGGGTCGCTGGCGGGGCTGCGCAGCATGGTGGAAATCCGTCGTGCCATGTCTGATCGTGACCTGTTTCTAGAAAAAAACAATCATAGATTATCAGTGAACATAATGAAGATAGTAAATGGTTATAAGTTTTATGAGTTATAAATTATAAATGGTTGGTATCTGGGTTCTAACATGTTATAACCCATAGTCATATAGCGTATACATCCGTATACAAGGTTTCAGGAGTTATAGCCATAGCTAGCAACCAGCAATCCTAAGTTGCACGATCATCCGAGTATGTCTGGTTGGTGGTTTCAACCCTCTGAAAAATATTAGTCAGTTGGGATTATTATTCCCAATATATGGAAAATAAAAGATGTTCCAAACCACCAACCAGCTATGGATGCAAAAAAAAACATAGGCCAGGATTCCGTTTATGACCATTGGTCCCATCTTGATGTTATTGATGTTATCACTAAAACTATAGGCCAGCATCCATGAATGAGTCTGGATAGTTATTAAAAAAAACATGTCACCAAGCTGCACAAATATCATTCCAGACAACCGCCGTGAAGTGCGGCAGAATTCTCCGCTTAACCATAGGGAGAGCGAAAGGGTGGACTCTGTGGTCCCTTGTTCTGCACTGCATTCAGCATGGATTTGGTCTCAGGGTCCAAGATATTCAGAGATATTCAGCGAATCCATGGCGAAGAAGGCGATGCCAATGAGGGAAATGGTGATGCCCGGGAGCAACGCGTAGAAGATGCCGTTCTTGACCTCAGCTGTCCAGCTGATGGATGGCCTTTCAAACCCCTGGGAGATGGCCCAATGTTCAAATCAAGAGATCCTGGTGTAGTTCTAATTCAAGCTAGATCAATTTAGGGGCACCAAACGTATATGTAGTTGATGGTCTACAATGTGAGGCCCCCAAGATATCAGTTGGTTTATAAGCCCCAGTAACTATAGTTATACATACCATAAACCATAGTTGTTGGAGTAGTTATAAACCAACTTAGCTATCTTGGGGGCCTCACATTGTAGGTATATCCTGGTATCTCCAGATTGGATCAAACGCATCTCCGTCGTGGCTCAGCTGCCCCCGGCTGAGTGACTGATTGATCGGCCTCCAACTGCTTCTTGTAGCCTGGGTGGCGACCATGGTTCCATGGAGTGTCCCATTCACTGGGTCCACTTTCTGTGGCTTCAAAACAGCTCCCCTACAGTAATACCACTGAAAAAGGTAGAGAACCTATGTCCATGGCGGCTACGGCTACTTGGACATGCATCCCAGAGTTCTCGGAAGTGCTTCAAACACATGGTTGTTTCACAGTTCACCCGGCATGATATATTGGGATCTTAGCAGTTGCACGGCTGCTGAGATTTATGGGGTCCTGTTATACCCAACTCAGCTTCCAGTTGATAAACATACATCAGCATTCAAGGTGGTGCCCCCCAGTTATGAGTTGGTTTATAACCACTATCAACTAGTTCTCTCTCTCTCTATACATGTATATATATATACACATACGCATATATATATATACATACATATATGTATGTATGATATGTATATCTAAATATTATATATATGATATGATATGATATGTATCATAAACCCATTCGTGAAGTTGAAGTGATATCAGCCAAGATCAGCGATTCCGACCTGGAACACCGCCGCCAGGTGGCGTGCCGTCATCTGCACCCGCACAAAGTTCAACTCGTCGGGCAACAGTTCATCACCTGGTAGACGCAGCCGTCATTCGATGGCTGTTGGATATACCAAACAAAAAGCCCTAGGCCCTAGATGGATATATCCATGATACATCTAGAGTTCATCTATATATCTAGGTATATCTAGGATATATATATATATATATATATGTATAATGTAGATATATATGTATATATATATCTAGGATTTTTGTTTTGGATATCTCATCTATAACATCTTGAGTTCATCAGTTCATCATTTTTTTACGGGCTTTTTGAACATCATTACGTCATTTCCACGTGGTTCACCGGATGTCTTCGTGATGATCCCAGTAGGATTAGGAACCAACCCATCCAACTGGTACAAGAAATGGCTCCATGATGGTTACCCGGTTAATAGTGGTTAATAATGGTTAATAGTGGTTAAACATTAGTATTGGTATATAATAGTGGTTAATAATGATTAATCATGGTTAATAGTGGATAATGAGTGATAATGGTTGGATTACCTCTGGTAAACTACCAGTTAATGGGATTTTTAATGGGATACCTCTGGTAAACTACCAGTTTGCGAACTTGAACATGGCAGATATAGTTTATTTACCCAAAATCATGGATCTTTCCATAGTTTTTTTGTAAATGTTTGCCAGAGGGTATGTATAGTTATGTTCTGTTGCTTGCTGAAAGTGTTACACCAATCCGTAGATGCCCGCCATACATTCCAACGATTTGTGTTACAAACCGACTTACTCATCTAGGGGTCCCTGTACAATGGCTCAGGGTGATGACAAAGCCTGTGGCATTTCGAAGGAAGCTAGCGAAGGTTGTTCCCCCATTGGTTTTTGCTTGGACACAGTCTATAGATAATATGAGTATACATACGAGTATATATATATATTTATATTTAATGTATATGTATATTATATATTATATAACATATTATACAAAATTCAAGGGTTCCTCCATTCTCAAGACCTTTCATGGCCTTAAATGGTTGAATTTCAATTACGTGACCTGAGTGTCTTACAGGTGTAGTGTCGATAGGGTCTGGCAGGAAATAACAGTGGCATCAATCGGTCCCCAAACATAAAGACCAACACTTGCCCGTGGGGTTTCTTCCTTTTCTACATTATTCAATGACAACAAATCCTACTAAATTAATAATACTACAAATAAGTACGCACAGGATATGGCTCCAATTTCTGAGGTTCCTTATCATGGAGAAACATGTTGCACTTTGAGAAGTGACCACTTCATTCCCATCCCCTATTGACCGTCCACTGTTGACCAAATAATAGCCCATAGGATCCATGTATGGTATATATGCCAACATTGGGGGTATATTGATGGTAAATGTTACCATATATCCATATATAGCATACATGGATCCTAGGGTAATGAAGTTGTGTTGAATCAGAAATTCTTGATGTCTTTCCTTTGCCTTACGATTTATGCTGCCTTTCTGGGGTGAGGATTGTGAAGGATCCCAATCGTTCGGGGAAACGAATGGAAACGCGCTTCTAATGCTGGTGACACAGAATTATAATGGGAAAATCACCACTTCAAGTAGAATAATACATGGTAAAAGATGATCCAAAAAGCAGCATGTTCCAGACATGCATTGTTCCATTGGAGATTTTGCAGTAGGACAACGCAAAAATATGCAAAAACGCTGATATGCACTAATTACGCACTACACGAGCTTTCCTGTGGAAACCTCCCAGATTTAAAACCCACCCTGGCAACCTCAAAACAAAACACTCCGTTGGATTAGCTGAGTTGAAGGGAACATCGGACCCAATGGAACCGTAACGAAACGATAGGGCAGTCCTGCAGATTTGCCGAAAAACACCTCCGGGTGACCGAAATGCCACGGCACCCATCACCGAGTTGTATGCCGCGACGAGCTCTTGAAACCGCTCCGCCGCATCTGGATCGTCGGGATTGACGTCCTTCCAGCACGCGTGGGGATGGCATGGGATAGTCAATTTGAACAGTTATCCCATGTTATCCCAAAAAAATACCCAGAACAGAAATAGGGCTTCTGAAAATATGGGACCTCATGGTACATCTAAATTCAGTGGTCAGTCATTATTTTCCCCATTCAATGGTCATTTAGAAGGCAATACCTCCATTTCCCAACAAGGCAGGCATGTTCCTGGAGCAAAAATCACCGCAGAGGTGAAAGATCCACCACGAGTGCAATTTCTATTTCGGTTTTTCTGATTGAAACCACCGTGATAAGATGTAGGTCAGGGAATGTCAGGGATCTGTCCTTCTCATTCTTGGATTTAAAATAAAATAGTTACTGTACCATCTGGTAAATTAACATAGACCCTGGCACTTGTCGGGGTTGGAAGATTAGTTTCCATTAAAACTAAGCTATTTTCAGGGTCTATGTTAATTTACCAGAGGGTACATAGTTGTGAACAGATAACAACTATCAACGACAATTTGAACATTCCGAATACAAATTTGAATCATTCAAGTTATGTACTTATGTACCCGTGTTCTCATAATCGTCATCATCAACGACAAGAAAGGGACAACAAAAGGACAACCAAGTCCACTCTCACCGAAAAATATCAAGAATGCAAAAGCAGGAATAATGACTGTAGCATTTATCAACACGTAGCAGTATAGCAGTATCACTCAACACACAAAAACTTAAACAAAGAAATGCCATGCCACGTCTTCCTCCCATGGCCCTGTGGCCCTGTGGCCCTGTGGCCCTGTGGCCCTGTGGCCCTGCCGGTCCGGATGTTCCGTCTGCACTCGCTTGCGAAAGAGCTTGCGGATCTCCGACTTCTCAGTACCCCTTCGCACGCCTAAAAGGTCCTAGGACGTCAAGGGTCCCACCCACCCCCGCCAGGGCCGCCAGGGCCGCCAGGGCCGGTGGTGCCCTTCGTTGCATCCTCCAGTGATTTAACATAGCAATGGTATAGATGGCCCATTTTATGATTTCAAAATTTTGGTGATTTTTTACATAGCAAACTATTCGATTACCAAAGTGATCCCATGAACTTTGGGCCATTCGTCACGAGTGGATTTCAGGTCCGAGGGCGCAAGGATCATCAAAATGTCTTCGGTGTAGATATGAGAAAGCCCAAAAAACATCAAAAAACATGGTTTCCCTGCAAAGTATTGCAGTGATATATCAGTGGATAAAACATTGTGGGGCTTTCCAAATGTGAACTGGAGGCTAGCCGGGCCGGCTAGCCTATGGCTAACATGAAGCGACCCTATACTTGGAACACTTGGGGTCTCAAAATTTGGACCGTCCAGGACGTCCAACACGAAACAGCATGCTACAGGTGCTGATTTGTGGATCCACTGCTTGACGATTACCCTCTGGTAAACGTTTACATGGCTATTGAAAATAGCCATCTATAGTTCGTTGATTTACCTATTAAACATGGTGGATCTTTCCATACAATGTGAGGCCCCCAAGATATAAGTTTGTTTATAAGCCCCAGTAACTATAGTTATAAATACCATAAACCATAGTTATTGGAGTTATAAACCAAATTAGCTATCTTGGGGGCCTCACATTGTAGTTATGTAAACGTTTACCAGAGGGTATGAAGGGATTCTGCCAGTCGACCAACGTTGTTTTAATAGGAACGGTTCCGTTGCCAGCCGCGTGGCGTCCCGATGGACCTCTTTCATATGGGATGGATGGCTTACCCTCTGGTAAACGGGCTTACATAACGAACTGGAAAGATCCACCATGTTTAATAGGTAAATCAACGAACTACAGTAAATGGCAATATTCAACTATGGAAATCACCATTTTGTAGCTGGGTACGTACATCAACTATTTCTATGGCAATTTTGAATAGCTATATTGTAACAAATTACCAGAGGGTAATCGTCATATCTGGAATATGACTTTGGATCAAAACCCTGGTACCCTCTATAGTTGCCATAGGAAAAGAAACGTCAAAATATCATCAATCGACAGTTCACTTAGCTTTACTCAACATGAGGCATGCGGATAGGCCGTTTCTTGGTCTTGACACCAAGCATCAAAGGGATTCTTTGGTGATTTCGGCAGTCTGAGTGGATTGTCACCTGAACAAACTAATCTCGTGGGACCTGAGCAATAAACATGATGGAAATCGACCACTACATTGGCCTAGGTTGCCCACTATTCCAGTAAAAAGGACAGAGCCCTAGAGGATGTGAATGGTGGGGGGAAACCACATTTTCGGGCACCTGCTTTAAAGTATGTTCAAGTCCTTGTGGCGGGTGGTGTCAATCCCAAAGAATATGAGTCGTTGTGGATCATCATACCAAATCGTGAAAATAGACCAGTAAGCGGAGGAGTTCACCCTTTGCAAGTGGTAAATATCTAATGGCTGGCTTATTTCACTCTCACTGACTTTGAATCCACTCGGCATGTGGTCGATAACCAACCATGATGCTGGCAAGTTACCAATGAAATGTTTACTCCAGCTGATGTTTCATGTTTATCTGCTTGCGATTACACATCCAAACCAACTCTCCCACCACTGTATACCAACCATTTCATATTATAGTCTTGTCCGAAAAAATGCGTGTAGCCAAAATCCATCAGCTCATCAGCATATATTTAAACATTGCCATAAAGCGGAAGGCATGGCCAATTTTCAGAAACACCTACCGTCATATCTATTTTTTCAATAATTCCCATTGAATCTATCCACCAATATCATATCAATGTCCCGTAAAATATCCCATTCATAACATCCCTTTCTGAAAAGCTACGCTTTACTTTCGCGTGGTGGGGACACTGTTACTAGCTCCGCTCTTAACAACTCCTCCTGACCACTGGATGGTCAGTTGTTATGCATCCCATCAACTCACCAGCTATATCACAAGCTACATTCAGGTTATACTTATTGTATATTGTGGTTATATGTATATATATATATACAAAAGATTGGTTACATTTGGGTCTATATCTTTAGGTACCCCATTATTATATCCAATATTATATCCCATTCTTATATATATATATGAATATGTGTATGGGTTTGGGTCAAAATTAGGTACCCCAAAGATGGTGAACTCTAACAAAAGGACAAACATCTGTGGTTCCGTGAATCTCAAACTTTGACCCATCCCCATATGGTTCCGTTGCTAACACTTGTAAATGATGATTATATATCCTTTAACCTCAGGGTTATGTAAATAATATAATATATTATAAATATAATGATTTTATAAATAATGACATGATATGATCCTGCATTTTTTTTATAGATAATGACATGAAATAATCCAATTTATGATTGTTGGTTGCTAGCCATGAATCCTCCCAGCTTCCCAGGCCGCGTTCCAAACAGTTCCAAGCGGCTTCCTCGCCGTGCGACGACGTCTTGCCCAACGTCTTGCCGCGCCCGTGGCACATCTTTGGTGCCCACGAAGAATGTGACGCTTGGCGCCAAACAAACGAGACACCTCATGGCGGTGCGGCCAGTGAAAGGGGCCCTCAAACGGTAGGAGAACGGCTAATAAAGAGGTAAAATTACCAATTTTGCGGCCTTGTAGCTTTCATTGCCTATAATAGACTGAATATACATCTCTCAATAATTTCCGTAAAAAAACACAATGTCCCCATTACATTGACCATATATAGGGTAGATTGGAGCATCCCTGCTTCAGGGTCTTAGTCTCGGTGAACGTTTTTCGTGTGGCAGTTTCTCCGAGCAGCGCAGCCATGAGGCTCCGAAGTGGTGGAGCGCCATGGAGCCGCACCATGGCTGGGATCACTATGGTTGGTGGTTGAGCCCGACCCCTCTAAAAAATGATGGACAACTCGTCACTTGGGATGATGACATTCCCAATATGTTAACCAATATGATGGGAAACATAATCCAAATGTTCCAAACCACCAACCAGATGATGTTCGATGTTTTCATATCATGCGTTCATGACAAAATGTTAGTTGCTTTGCTTGAGTATGCTTGACCTGACATATTAGTGACTGATAGCCATCTGTACATGTTCTGCAAGAGAAGGCAGGGATCTAAGGCTGGGCTAAGCTACCCCAAAATTGCTCTGACCACCACTTTCACGTCCATTTTCTTGCCGTTTCTTCTACTCCTTCAGTGTTTGACATGGTGCATCCAGAAGAACTTCCAAACAATTGAGGTTCCCAGGTTCCTAAGCATTTTAAATCTTGGATTCCTATTATGCTGAGTAGATAGGTCCCCAGTTACAGCGGATTTTGGTAACTTCAGTTCCATGGATTCAGCTGAGCCAAGGAAAACCTGAGATCGATGCCAGGGTTGCCATCCCATCTCATGCTAGTTGGTTGACGGGCTTCCCTTTGGGTTATGGGTAATAATAATCCCCAATTAGGTCTGGTTGGTGGTTTCAACCCCTCTGAAAAATATTAATCAAGTGGGATTATTATTCCCAATATATGGAGAAATATAACAAATGTTCCAAACCACCAACCAGAGGTAGTAACTAGTCCCTACAATAACCAATCAACAATGGTATGTTGTTCATGGATCAATCAATTGAAACTGAACACGTCACACGTTGAAGCCCAGACTGAGTATCGGTGACCCCTCCAACCCCACAACCGCTCACATGGCTAAGACTGCCACTCGTCCGTGTCAAGCTCTGCCTGTGCACCCACTCTCAACTCACCAGGACGGTATTGCGGAAGTGAAGAACTACACTCGTGGTGCATTTACCATTATTTACCCATTATATGCAGATATATGCAGTACATGCATTCACCCACAGATGTTCTGGGTAGGGGTATAGAGGTACTGGAGGTACTGTGCATCGTGCTGGTCTATGTTCTATGAGCGGGTCACGTTTGGGGAGAAATGTAGATTGATGGACATCTGGAGCATCTGGAAAACATGTCGAGAAATCGTGCAAGACTGCCAAAATAGCTACGGGGATAACAGGATCTCCACTACGATCTGTATATGATTAATATTGATTAATATAGTCAGGCACCAGTTATGATTGCGGATGCAACCCTGAGTACCAATGTATGATCATGAAACTAGAATATCCTAATGTTTGTAGGACTTTCTGACCCATGCCCAATATGCTGATGTTACAATACCTCCAGGACATTTATCCAGCTTTGCAGGTTGGCCATTAGAGTACACCTCTATCATATTACTTCACATTCCTATTCTATCGGACCTTCTCCAGTCTGGTTTAATCCATTGGAAGATCTTACCCATAGGATCCATGTATGGTACATATGCTAACATTGGGGGTATATTGATGGTAAATGTTACCATATATAGCAGCACCATGGATCCTATGGGTTAGAAGTCTTTCCGATCCTGTCTCGAACGAGCTTGGATCCGACTCTCCGATCCAACGCCAGCGCCTCCGACTCCACCAACTCCTCCAGCGGCTCCGCCGCACGTGGCGCCTCCGCCGGCGGCGGCACCGCTAACTCCACGGCGGCGCCCGCGGCAGCATCCGCCGCTGGGGCCGCCTGCCCTGGGGCCGGCTGCGCCGGAGCTGGCGCAGCCGTGTTTTGCGCTGGTCGCGGGGCTGAACCTGGCAGCGATGTCTTTTTGGGATGGAAATGATGAAGTTGCACTTGTCATGTGGATTTCATCATAGAAATTGGATGAAATTGGTACTGTTGTTTTGGGTTCAAAGCTGGGCGATTGTAACTGTGATAGAACTGGATGTGACCAATAGTGCCATAATGCTGATAGATTGACCAATTATCACAATAAATTGATGAATATCATGGGAAATAATCACCAATACGGGGATGGGCCGGGGTATAACCAATGGTTCCAACATGTGTCCATAATGCCGGTATTACCAAAGGTTGCTAATTGCAGTGGAATTCCAGCATCTTCAATAATCTTTATACCCTCATGATCTGATCATATTATACGGTATCACCGGGAAAATGTGCACCAGCTCGGTATGTCCAACAATAAAGGTGGACGGTGAATATAAACGGGAAATACTTCCCAGACATGCAGTAGTTTTTAATTGTGTAGATAACTTCTGCAAATCATATAACTGGCTTTGTTCACATGATAGCATTCTTTATTCTTTGTGGGAAAACAAGGAGAAGCTGCTGGAAATTGAGGTTCCTCAGTTTCAGACGAAGCTGTTTTGGCATTCTTTTGGTACCTGTATTATGGCCAACCCCTTGGCGAAGCAATCCTGGTTTGCTTGGAAAAACTGGTTGGTGGTTGAGCCCTACCCCTCTGAAAAATATGAGTTCGTCAGTTGGGCTTACTATTCCCAATATATGGACAAACAAAAAATGTTCCAAACCACCAACCAGAAAATCATCATTGTTCATGGAGAAATCATAATTCCCCAATGGCTAAATCAGTGCGTTTCACCAGCCTTTCACCAGCCTTAATTCTGCGATGATTCGCCAATTGCTCCGTATTTTTTATGCCAACAACAAATGCAACTTTGCGACGCATCTGTACAAACTGGCATGAACTATATCTTTGGTGGTTTATAAAGTTTAGGACATTTGTGACTTTGGTGGTTTAATGAGTTATATTATATACATTTTAACTGGCATGGTTAACATTTCATTGGTCCGCAGACCAAACTGACCTTCAAATTCGAAATTCGTCAGTGCATGAACTCATTGGTCAGCGACGTTCGTCGCACAATTTTGCAGTGAGAAGAGACCCGTTTGGAACTTTCAGTTGTCTAAGGACGTCTACGAAACTGTTTCACTCCACTCTCCTTATATGGCAATATATGGCATACATATACATGAGGGGCAAAACCAACCAAACACAGAGATATCAATCTCTGATATCTCAAGCAAAACACTTAGCTGGGCATGAAATATTGTTCTGGCTAAACAGCAGAGTCTTATGTTTTACTTCTTTGAAATATCAAACCAAATTTGCACAGTCAAGCATCCAGTTACCACACTTCTGCACAGCCAGGGAAATATGGTACAAACATATACAAACATAACATGTTTTTCATTCTTGTTGAACTTCCCCATGTTCACTCCAATTCACTCAAGTCAATATTCAGCTTCTACCAAATGATTTGCCCCGTTGTTGCAGCTTTTACTATAGGTGCTTATCTCAAACTAAGGGACTCCCCCAATTTATCACCAAATTCTTGGCATATCATTCTCTTTTTCACCATAAAATTCCATAAAATTACATAACAACATATAACGTGGACCATTTTTCCCATGTTTTCTCCCTATCTCTACATATCTTTCCCAACATGTGCCTTTGCCCATCCGTAGCAGCTCCGGCGCAGCGGGTGCCGCGGGGGCCGCGGCCGCGGCGTGGAGCGGGCGCGTACGCGCGGAGGTGGGGAAGAAGACCTGCAGCGCTGGAAATCATCGAATTTCGCCATGGAAGTGACATGCCTTGATTGGGGTATCTTTTGAACCCTCCAAAGATTTGGTGAAATTGATACTTCCATGAACTTCCATGGTGAAATTCTTTTGGTGAATACCCCACTGGTTCACCATGCGTTGACATTTGGGTATCTTTTGAACCCTCCAAACATTTTGGGTCGTAGTCATGACCTGACTTTCTTGTTGAGATGCAGAAATCATAAATTCAATATATTATCGTGGCAAAAAAAACATCATGCAAATCACTGCTCTCAGTAGGCTAAGATCGCCTTCTCTTTTTTGGGGGGGGTAATAAGTGTCCATGGGTTTTATTACCCATAGGATCCATGTATGATATATATGGTAACATGGATCTCATCAATATACCCCCTTTATGTTAGCATATATACCAGCACAAATGTCATCGTAACAATCTATTCAGGGTTGGTATACCAGCACCATGGATCCTATGGGTTATGTCTTACAATTCCTTAAGGACATCTTTGGGGGTACATTAGCCATCAAAATGGTTGGACCCTTAAAGATCCACCAATGGGCCACCAATCATCAACCTGTTGACGAATATCCGCAGTACTTCATCAGTTCATAGTATTATACAACTGTAACTTATTATCTTCTAGATTATATATATATATACAGTACACCTGGTTACTGGGATTTACTGGGTTTGAAGTTGTGACACATCATATATGTAAAAAAAAACTATTATAAAGACATATCAGTTTGGGTTTGCATATTGAATGACTAATTTTATCTAATTTTCCCAGTTAGACAAAGACTGCCAACCGAAACAAAATACCTTTTACTCAACTCTGCTCAAGGTTCAAACAACATGAGCCGCTGTGCATGGCAGTGCATTGCCATGATTGATTCCCTACACCCTGCGTATTGGATCTATTCATGTGGCGTCCCACTAACCAAAATGCTCCCCATGAAGCTAGCAATTGTTGGGAATCCCTCATACTCAGACCCCTCTGAATCTGGTTGGTGGTTGAGCCCTACCCCTCTGAAAATATGAGTTAGTCAGTTGGGATGGTTATTCTCAATATATAGAACAATACTCCATTCATGTTCCAAACCACCAACCAGATATACAATAGTTGGCTGTATATCCGATTATCTCGCATTGCAACGGCATTATCCCCACTAGTGGTCACCATTGTTGGTGTCATACCAAGTTTCGTTGATTAAATTTAAATGCATAATTTTCCACACTGTCAGTACGGGGATAGCAATTCATGAGATCTCAACAGGGTGGTGCCCTCTAGTTATAAGTTGGTTTCTGGAGCCTGTTAGCTATAGATATATCTGCCCTATAGATAGTTTCAAAATGGTATAAAACAAAGTTTGGATCATATATCCAACTATTAGTGAAATCCCCATGTTTGCTGTTGAAATTACCAATTTTCACCATTTGTCTTCGTGAAAATCACAAGGATTACCCATTGTTTTGATGGTAACATCTTGACTTTTCCCATAGTTTGGATGGTAAAATCCTGATTTTCCCATAGTTTTGATGGTCAAATCCTGACTTTTCCAGTTTTTCCATAGTTTTTCCCATAGTTTCCCATAGTTTTTCCATGTTTTTCCGATTTCTACGGCCTTCCCCGCCCATCCCTCCGGTCCACGGCACGCGCCCAGAGTGGCCCCCAGGCTGCGCCGCGCGGTCTGGCAGTGGGCTGGGTGACCCAGGCGGACCTGCGCTGGCTGCGGTGGTGGCAACATGTGGCAACCAGCCGGAAATCCCCAGTGGATGAGTACACATTCCCATGACGGATCCATGGTGCTGCTATATATGGTGTGCCATGGATCCCATCAATATACCCCCTTTATGTTAGCATATATACCAGCACCATGGATCCTATGGGATTGGTTATAAGATGGAAAATCCAGCTGGTTGATGGTTATAAGATGGGATTACACATGGTCATCTGGCTGATGCTTGGATGTTTTTTTTGTGGGATTATAAGATGATTGTAGTCATCAAAAGGTCTAAGTGGGATTATAAGATGATTGATGATGATTACACTAGATGATTATAGTTTTGATTGTAGTGCATATCTACATTTATAGATTTTTTATAGATGATTATGATTAGTTTCCACCTGAAAAATATAGGAACATGTAGGAAACTAATCATCTAGAAACAGTCTACCATGTTACACAGTCTGCTTGGTGTTTATACATGTTTTATACCCATTATTGTTGCGCTAGAATCAGTCAACACCACCTGAGATCTCGAGCACGGAATTTGAGGCCCCTACTCTTCCTTTCCATCAACGCCTCGGAGCCGGCTGAATGGAATTTTCATGGAACCAAATACATCCAAATACTCCCTATGGATCCAAGTACCTTCTCAGGAAGTGTTTGTGGTATAATTTTAATTTACTTTAATTTGGAGGGTTGAGTACTTTCTCAGATAGTGTTTGGATCCATAGGGACTATAAGTTATAAAAGGAATAAAGACAGTTGGATCTTTTTAAATGGGAATTCCATGGGATTAATTGATTTGTGTGTTTGGAAACTTTGGGGTAACACCATCGCTTGTTGCCATGAACATTGGACTTTCGGTTGCATGAGTTGGTAAATATCTCCATCAAAATGGTATCTTGAGCTACAATTAGAGTTATTGCATGTTATTCTGGGGATGAATTGATCTAATGCTAGCACCATGGACTGTTTTGTGGTCCTTCGCCACCCGGGATCCAATAAATGTGTACCAGATGGGAAAAGATGCACACATGTTTCAAGACAATGTTTTAAACAATTCCCTTCTGACCGTAGAGACCCTCCGGTTTTCGGGGGTTCTGACCGCTCTATTCTCCTCAGATCACCATATTTTTTGCTGCTCCGCAAGCCAAACTTTTGGGATGGCCGCATGGATCGGGCAGCACACGCGCAATGCACATCATATAACATCATATAACCCACTTATTTAGTGCTTACGAACATCATGTGTCAATGTCCAAGGATCGACTATCAATATAAAATATATACCCTCTGGTTATGACTAACAAAAAGCTATTGAAAATGGCCATAGACATAGTGAGTCTTCCCATTTAAGATGGTGATGTTCCATAGTTGTGTCTATAGACATCTATAGACAATACGGACTGTAGAAAAAACATGTTGCACAATTACGTGAACTTGAACGTTTCTGCATCTGCTTGGCTGGGCCATGGAATTTGCTGGTTAACCCCACTCTGCTGTCATATCGCAGTCATACTTCCTCAGAAGATATCGCTAGATCAACAAAACATGTTCATAAGTCCTTGATTAGTGGGGATTTCGCATTTAGAAGTGGCTTATAACCCCGCTTAGCACTTACATGCACTTACTAAGTGGGGCGATCCTCCAATAAAATCGCCACCATTGGGCTTTCACGGGCAAAACATTGCACTTACGATCACAAGCGAACAGCCAAAATTACGCTTTGTCAAAGATACACATTTAAAAATGCAGTAATATCCAGTATATCCCTATGGCATTCCCGGTGAAATATTGAAATAACCCATCATCACAGTGATATCCCATACCCTCTGGTAAACTAACATAGCTATTGAAAATGGCCCATTTAGTTCGTTGATTTACCCATTGAAAATGATGATTTTCCATGGCTATATAAACGTTTACCAGAGGGTAACTTCCCATTTTGGATGGTGAAAAATCCATCGATCCGCATCGCCATGGCACGATTTCCTCATCCGTGAAGCCTTGCGCGCGGAAGGCGCTGTTGGAGCGACAGCGGCTCGACTGGGACGACGCCACCTGGCGGCTGGTTTTTGGGATGAAACACGAAGAACAAATACCCAAAATGGTAAACGTTTACACAACGAACTGGGAAGATCCACCATTTTGTAGCTGGGTAAATCCACTATTTCGACTGGGCCATTTTCAATAGCTATGTAAACGTTTTCCAGAGGGTAAAACATGAAGATCAAAATAGTATAAACACATGTAATCAACATGCACTAAACCAAACCAAACCAAATGTGTATAAGTTGTAGTCACAAAAAAAACAATTTCATCTGTTGGTTTACGCATCATTCACTGGTCCTAAGATTAGTAAATGAATAGTTAACTATCCCCAACTTTAGCAATAATTAGGCGGTATAAACTATCAATGCACATGGGTGGTTTATGACATTGCTTTACTACCATTATGCCAGTTCCCTGAAGATAAAAACTGTGCAATCCACCAATTCCACTCAAAGCTGTGACCGACCACCGAAGGTGTCAACCTACCATCAACCTAAAACAGAAAATCGAGGGTGGCTTGCATGTACGATTTCTTTGACAAAGACAAGGATTAATCCAACTACTAACTACTATAACACCCAATAGAAAAGTATGAAACATCTATGAAACTATCACAAATCGCAAAAAATCGGATACCCTCTGGTAATTTGTTACATAGCTATTGAAAATGGCCATTGAAATAGTCGATTTTCCCATTCAAAATGGTGGATCTTTCCATTGCTATGTAAACGTTTACCAGAGGGTAATTAGCCATGGATAGCCATGACATCATTTTTGTGACCTGTCGTGGCTCGCTGGGAGGACTTGGCGGAGGTGTAGGTCTTGGTGCAGGTCGCGCCTGGCGTTTTTTTCGCGGAGACACCTGGTGACCTGGGACTAGAAATCATGGACCTGAAACCAATGGGATGATATATAAATGTTATATAACTATAATGGGATGATAAGTATAATGTAGATATTATATATATAACTAGAGTTGCTTTTGAATGAATTACACATGTTAAATTCCAACTATAATAACTGGTTGGTGGTTGAGCCCTACCCCTCTGAAAAATATGAAAGTCAGTTGGGATGATTGTTCCCAATATATGGAAAAATAAAACATGTTCCAAACCACCAACTATAATAAGTATATAACTATAATTTCTAATCTATAAATGGGATGAAATAATTGTAAATAACTCCTGTCATGGGAGAGTTTTTATACTATCTCTTTCTGGTGATTCATTGGGGGATGATCTATTTACCCTCTGGTTATTTAACATGGTGGCAAATGGCCCATAGAGACGATTTACCTATTAAAAATGGTGATTTTCCATGGCTATGTTAATTTACCAGATGGTAACATTATTTCACTGGGCTTTACCACAGGAAAATCCCATCAAACACTTATCGCCATGGGATGAATTTCTGTGACGCTACCGTGGCACTGGAACAACGACTGGAACCGACCGGAACTACGAAAAAAACATGATTACAACAACGAGTGATTAATACTGGTTGGTGGTTTTAATCATATTGAAAAATATGAAAGTCAATGGGAAGGATTATCCCATATATTTGGAAAAGTAAAAAATGTTTGAAACCACCAACCAAAATAAGAAAAAAAGAAACAACATACTAATTATCATATAATTTACTAGCTGATTGTATTAGCTAGGAATCGTGATACATCATGATACATCTATAGAAGGTGTTTTTTGCTATACTTGGGGTGCGGTTGCAGAGGACTATATAAGGTCTAGTTATATAATCTTAGTTGTAGAGGTTTAAGGTACATACCAACTTCTTGGGCACAAAAATCCATGGGACCATAGCCACAAAAATCACCTCCACACATCCCAAAAGGGATCATGGAGATATTTCCATGGGGAACTGCCGTCCTTTTTCTTGCTATGATAGATCCAATAGATCTATAGGAAAAAAATAGTGGTTTGATGGTTCCTATATATGTAATATATGGGGGGTTCCTAAAATAGGGGTACCATCTGTAGCTGGATGGTTTAGTTCATGAATAAGCATCTATAAATGGATGAGACCTGGGGGTGCCACCATGACTTTGGAAACCTCCATATATACAATATATATATATATATACATACATACATCCCTATGAATCCAGCTGCACCGTATGATGACTGAGGGTGATTCGTCCCTTCTCAAGACATATCTCCAAGGGCGGAATTTCTATAAATGGGTATAATTGTTTAACACTTCTCAAGCTATGTTCATCAAAATCTTTACATACTTCTCGGTGGGCAAAAAAACCTAATTATATGGTTGTGTCTGATACTTTGGCAGTATTTGCGACCAAATGTCATGGTTGATATTGATATTTACCTGTTAGGATTGCGATGATGGTGTACCTTTTCTGTTTCAGACACACGCATAGGTATAGAATACTTGGGAAAACATCAAATCCCTAGATACGGATCATGCATGGGATTTGGTCGTGAACGGCTGTTGCATCAACATGCAAACTTATGGGGAAGAGCCAAACATTGGATTTTGTGTAACCAATGAATAGTGATGAATAATGGATATGGGGTTGTCCAGACAGGGATATCTTTGGATATAAACAAATGCCTGTTTCAATAGAAAACATATTTTTTCATGTTGAATACCTGGAATATTTCCAGATACATGTTCGATTGGCATTTTTGATTGTGAAGTCCACCATGATTAAAACCTGTTCCCCCATGTTTCATGGTTAAGACTACTCTGGCAATAGCTAGTTTTCAAAAACATCATGTACAAATGATTTAAGATATTTAAGTTCATCTAGCTGTTAAATATGGTGAACATGTCCATAGCTATGTTGAATTACCAGAGGAAAACATTTTTGATCACACCCCACACGGCACGAGTCACACGAGCTCTCCATGATCCCATCCACTGCTCTGCAGCCTTATCCAGGACCAGTTTCTGTGCCACGAACTCCTTCTTCGTTTCGCCTTGGCAATGGATGTCGTTTTCCATGGTGTTCTTTGTTGCAGAAAAGCAACAAAAATATATTATCATATACGGGGATTTCCTAAAATAGTGGTACCCCAAGTCACAATATATATATATACATACAATTATAATATATATAATTATATATAATTGTTGAGAGATTTTCTGAAGGCTGCATCACAGAAATACATTGCCGAGTTTTATCTGCCGCCGTGACACTGGAACTTGTTGAGTTTCCTCCGCCGGCGGTTCCGCCGGGACGACGCTTGGTGCCCACGAGGGCGCCCTTGTCGTAGAACATCTCCTGAAATTTCGATTGGTGATCTCGTGGTTTAATGGGATTTTATGGTGGTTTAATGGCAATGAATGGTGGTTTAATGGGATTTTTAATGGTGGTTTAATAGGATCTAATGGGAATTTTAATGGCATCTGGTTGGTGGTTGACCTACCCCTCTGAAAAATATGAGTTAGTCAGTTGGTGTTACTATTCCCAATATATGGAACAATAATCCAAATGTTCCAAACCACCAACCAGCCATAGAAGCCCCAGCAAACCATGGATGTAGGAGCTTTATACATTTGGGACCATACCATTGGGGTGTTTAATATTTGGGGGATGGGATTATAGATAAGATAAGACAAAATAAGAGAAGATAAGATAGATAGATAGATAAATAGATAGATAGATGCGTTTCCACGAAGAATTGGCTACTTTCAGGGTATATGTTGATTGGGGGAAGGGTAAGTTGGTTTTATGGCCTAGTTGCAAACCAACTTACCCTCCCCGGATGTATCGAACAGGTTTATGGGCTAAATAAACAAACTTAGAACCTAGAACTGGGGGGGGGGAATATGCGAGAAATTCGGGACTTACTAGCCAAATTATGACACTATTGAAGCTAAAACTCATGGTAGCCATTGGATTTAAGGTAGCCGTTAATAGCCACAATCCAGGTGGAACGAACCCGGTATGTGGCTAGCTGGGGTGTATAATCTGGAAGAAGCCAACCAAGAGGAGTGACGTTGATCTAGGTCTGAAACCATCTGTTTGCATTAATCCTCTATTAGCAGTAAATTGACATAGCTATGGGCTATGGTATAGATGGCCCGTTTTCTTCGATGATTGACCTTTTTTGAAAATGCTGATGTTCCATAGATTCCATAGTCAACTCTTGGTTTACCCTGTTAGAACTGGTGATTTTCCATAGTTGACTATTACTTTCCTTGGGTAACATCCATTCAACATACCTGTGGTCTAGCTGCTAGAGCTGCAGTGAGGCGACCATGGATATATACTGATGACATTTCGACTAACCATGGCCATATATTACTTAAATTTACTTAACACTGGTTGGTGGTTGACCTACCCCTCTGAAAAATATGAAAGTCAGTTGGGATGATTATTCCCAACTGAATGGGAAAAAAATGTTCCAAACCACCAACCAGAACATTTATTTCTGGGTGAACCATGGCCGCCATGGCCATGCTGGTCATGGCCATAGTGGTGAAGATTTGTTTCTGGATAGGTCAGGATAGGTCATGCGAGTCATACGTCTTCACATTGATCGCCAAACTGGACCAAGATGCTAAAGCAAAAAAAAGTACTCCCCCTCTGGTTAATAGTGGTTAATAGTGGTTAATAGTGGTAAATAATGATAATTAATGGTGATTAATGGTGATAAATGGTGATTAATGGTGATTTACCCGGCCTGGTAAACGGGCTAACATGACTATCCCATGACGGATCCATGGTGCTGGTATATCAATGCTAACAGAAAGGGGGTATATTGATGGGATCCATGGAGCACCATATATAGCAGCACCAAGGATCCTATGGGTATGGAAAGATCCACCATCTTTAATGGGTAAATCAACTATTTCTACGAGCATTTTCAATAGCTATGTAACAAATTACCAGAGGGTATATTTGTTTTCTGGCTGTAGTATCGATGCTCTCATGGTAACCATGTTAACATTGAATCGCCAAGATGCCAAACCAAGATAGACCCAGTCATTTTGTGTACTCCAAAATGGGATGACATTAAGACCATCCGACCATCGATTTGCCGAAGGTGGCTCAACAGAAATCAACATCTATTCCGGAAAAAATATATCCATATCATCCCATATCATATTCCATCCATATTCCATCCATATTCCATCCATCCCCAATAAATAATCATAAATCAAGTCCCCAAGTGTCGCTTCGTCGCTGATCTCTCCCATCACCGAGTCTCCCATCGCTCGGTTCCACGCTGCCAGTGGTGTTGCCCGTGCTTCTGCCCATCCAAATACTCCCCAGCTTCAGTGGTGCCTCAGGCGATGGGTGCCTTCAGAGAGTTGAAATACTGTGGTTGCGAAATCTTAAAGCAGTTGGTAACTATTGGCAACCATGAAACACTGTAACAATCTTGATTTTCTGTAACTTTATTGTGAACATATGATTAAGTTTGATAGGAAAGTGAATGAAAGTTCTATAGCCAGACATTCTACCCGTACTAAAGTGCAAATAGCAAGGGCCACTCAACCGAAATCACATGGATAGGGCCAAACCCAATCAAATCTGATAGGAATACGTTGGCCCTGAAAGCTGCTCTGAATTTAACATGTGTTGATTGGTACCAAAACTCACTGGTACATTCAATTTCTAGCTATATCGATTTTGACCAAGATCAAAACACTTCTTCCATCGCTGTCCAATCACCATGAATCTTGAGGAATCGACGTCACAACTTCCATGTTTCAAGGTTTTGCAGCCCTAAAATCATCGTCGTTTCCTTAACAAAACAAGAAACACGTCCTGGTGGTGTGTGTCTAAAAAAAGAGGGACACCGCAAAAATGGGTCTTTTTATAGGGAAAGTTAATACTTAAGAATTGGATTTCGGGATACCCTAATTTCAAACTAACCCCCTCACCGCTTCATTTGAATAACATGTCACATGGTTTTTGAGTATATGTAGCATTCTTCCTTTGAATAAGAATCTAAATTTCTAACATCACTGGCACATCACACACGACATTGATTTATGGAAAAAAGGAGCCCCTACAGTCCTATAGTCGTCTTTTAAGAACATATAGACATTTGCTGAAATGGGGGTACCCCCAAATCATCCATTTATAGTAGGATGTTCCATGAACTAAACCATCCAGCTATTGGGGTATCCCCATGACTATAGAAACCCACATATGTTTCCCGCCTTGACATTGCCATAGAGCTACTTCCGCCTGCTGGACTAATCCAGCTGGTTGATTCTCTGGTGTTCCCTCTTTCTGATTGTTTTTGGCGTCCCCCCCTTCTAAAACAAAACTCGAAAAACAAGTGATACCAAACGTAGTAGTAAATGGTACCTTTCTGCTTTCCACTTTTTTTCATTTTTTTTGGGGTTACCCTAACCTCAACAGAAAATAGCTCTCGCAAACTCATGACTAAAACCCAACTATCAAAACATGTTAAAACCCCCATAAGTTAGTTGGCTGGTCAAATGCCACATTGATCATGAAACATACCCCTATCCCATCCCAGTATACTGGTTGGTAAATAGGTATCCCGGTATCCCTACTATTTGGTTCATAAATGTTCATAATATTTCGTAACAACAACCACCAATAAACCATTTACATCCATTTCGCATGGTTGGTGGTTTCAACCCCATTGAAAATTATTAATTAGTCAGTTGGGATTATTATTCCCAACTGAATGGGAAAATAAAATTCATGTTCCAAACCACCCAGGCATACCGTTCTTACATAACTCCCATGGCGTCAACCGAGCTATAAAAACTGACTCGGCCCTTTGGCATCCCAAGTTCCATCTGCCCAGGTGTACGTCCCAAAGCCGCACTTTCGATTCCTGGGTTGGTGCGAAGATGGAAAAATACCAAGAAAATCTCAGGAAAAAAACAAATCCTTCCGAAATAACAACAACTACTCCAGATTGTTCGTTTTTGGAAATGTCAGATTGGACAAGTTGATTTTCAATTGATGCCCTTTGGAAATGTAAAAATCAAAGTCCAATTTGAAAGTTCTACCTACCCCCGAATAATACTAGTTAACCCCGGGGTGTTTTTTTTTGTTAGGGTACATCTTTTGAAATCAAAAAACACATGTGATTTTTGTTTTTGGTTCAATATAAGGGGAAAGCTTCGAAATCCAATTTTTGGCAATATTTTACTAGATTTTAAAAAGGGAATTTGATTAAATCTTGATTAAGGTTTTAAATTTAACTTTAGGGGAAGTTTCGAAATCCATGTTTTGAAATATTTATTTTAATAATGAAATATTTTAAAAGAAACTTTGTCCGATTTTGAATGGAGCGTTTAATTAATTTACTATTAGGGGGCAAATTTCTCCCACGAATTGCCGGAATATTGAATACCCCCTACTCATAGGTTTCATTACTTGGGGAAGGGGGACAATATTCATATCGCAGGGGGAAGGGATTAATAATGATTCATAATTTCATGTGACTGAGAAATTCATGGTAATTACATGTAATTACCATGATATTTTGGGGTACATGATACCATAAACAAAGCCACTTATGAACTTTCAGGGGTCATTCAAGCACGGTAGTCTTTCCAAGATTCCTGGAGATTTGTAGATCGAAACTGGGCTGTATGCAGAAAGAACATGAGTTCCAAGCTAAACGTAATCTGGGGTTGGTGGTAGTTTCTACCCCTCTGAAAAATTCTGAGTTCGTCAGTTGGGATGAGTACTGAATTCTGAGTAATTATGAGTAATTATGCAGTTCTGAACACAATAATCCTGGCTTTTTCATTGCGACATATGCATTTTTCTCATGTTTTCTCCATAGACACAGATTGATGTTTCCGCTTCAAAGAAGGAACTGATAAGCCTGCCAAATAAAGGTTGCCGCTGGATGCACCTATTCCATCGATCGTAACAAGCCTAAATCATATCCCAATTTCATCCAATTTCCGGGTTATAACTGGTGATACCCGGCTCACTGATTCGGGTATGGATCAAAACACCAACTCCCCAAAAAATGGCTGCTAGCTATCCCATTGTTAGTATATGTCTATCGGCTCAAAAGTATAACCCATTACTGAAGATGAAAAGGAAATCTGTGAAAAAACGGTCAGCCCATCTTGGGTCGAGGTGCTGCTCATATCCTCCTTGAAAGGTATCTCCATTCCTTTGGAAAGGTGATGGACATGGGACACTTTCGGTACAAAGGGATTTACCCTCTGGTAAACAAACATAGCTATTGAAAATGGCAATTTATAGTGAGTTTTCCCATCAGAAATTGTGATGTTCCATAGTTATGTAAACGTTTACCAGAGGGTAAGCAACAAACATGTGATTTCTCCATCAAACATCAGGATTTCATGTTCAGTTTTCCTTATGTTTCCACCACAAGGGACCCCCTGGAAATTACGGTAGATCGAATACGCTTGATGCCACCATTTCAACTGATGTTGATCTTCCAGAACGTGGAGAAATCCGTGGGGACTCAAGCATAGACCACTGTTGGCTTTTTCAGGGGGAGTAGCATTTCAGTAGCAAATTAAAACTCTTCGGACCATAATATTCCAAATTATCAACCCAGCTCATCTAAAAACTATGAAACTTGGGATCATCGTTCCATGTTGTGGAACAAGAGGGAACAACAAAAAGCACGTGAAAAAAAAACAATTGGTCATCCAGCTTGTTTGGGTGTATCCCCATTTTTACTCGTTCCGTTCGACACTCTCATCATTCTTTTCCAGGCAAAACTGTGAACTGGTGCACTTCACAATCCATCTTAATCATGTGGGGGTCTCTACCCCACTTAAATAATCTTACACATGCCAATGAAAAAAATTCAGGATCCTAAAATGGAGGTACTGGACCACATAAGGCCATATTTTCTAAGGATATTGCCTTACATAGGCCTTACATAGGCCTTACATAGGCCTTATATATGGTAGGTACCTCCAATTTAGGTTCCTGAAATGACCATTGAACATGTGCTGACTTTGTGAGCTGCCAACCCTTGAACGAATGGTTGGCTGATTAAAATACACCCCCTCGATTGCCTGCTCCCAGGTCACAACAAACGGTTTACCCGTCGAGCGGTAATCACCATAAGCCCTAGTTACAATAGCCTAGTTGTAATTTCACCCTAAGTATATTGAACATATTTGGGGATGGGTCAAAACCTTGTACCCCTGGTGAACATCAAAATAGCTGGTAAATGGATGTTCATCCCCTTAAAATGGTATTAATAGGTATTGATCCATACCCATTTTACAATCACCATGATAATAAACCCAACAGTTAACCTAGTTACCATCTGGTTATTTAACAGTTCGCCATGGAAGCCATCACCATTTTTCACTTCGGTAAAGCATCTATTTCTATGGGTCATCTATACCATGGCTATGTAACAAATAACAAGAGGCTACATGAAACAGATCCAACTTCGATCTACCCATCTCCCATCCTCCAAGCATCTTAAAGTGCACCATCCCTTTGCCATGCGCATTGCCCTGCACCCACTGACCTTCAAAGATGCCTTTCTCAAAGAAGAGCGTGCCGTGGCCGTCGCGTTTCGAACCGCTCCACTGCCCGGTGTAGGTCGGGCCGTTCTCCACTTGCCTTGGCCAACAGATTTCCAATATGCATTATGTAAGCGGCCGGTTACACCCTGTACTTTTTTCGCCAACCCTCTGAAAAATCATGAAAACATATAGTGGGGATTCCTCATTCCAAATGGAAAGGAACACATGATTTCAAGCCGTCCATGGCCATGGCGTTTCAATGGCCAGTGGCATCACTCCAAAGCCATCCCTCTGGCCCTGCTCGTTGCGAAAACCCATATAGACATTCCTTGGCAGAATCCGACACTCCGCCCTCGCTAGAACAAATACAGGAGGCCTTATCAAAATATATTAGATATTATGCTTTATTGCAACCCAAATAATACGTATATCATACATAATTATATATGTATATCTATATAATTGTTATAGAAAAGTAAAATCCTACCGAAACAGTGACAATTTTTGTTTCTATCTTTTTAGGGGCTTCCTACGATGAAACTTTATGGTTTGGCCAAAGTGGCGTCACGATGGCGATAATCTGTGAGTCAGAGGTCTGAACTAAATTCACCTGCACTGCCTGTCCTTGATGTTTACTGTATATTAATGTAATGAATGGCTGCTTTATTTAGATTTCTTGAGTAGGTGCTTCATAATTTAGATCTCAAGGATCTTCATGAATTGAAGCTGTGATCGCAGGACCCGAAATCTGCATTTGCCAAGGAATTGTCAGGAAAATCACGCATTTGCAAAAGACTTGTCAGTGATATGTTGGCTTCAATTTGTCTTGGACTGCCCTGTGAGATTGTTGCAAACTCAAGCAATTCCACACAATCAAATCCACAAACTTCACGTGCATCGCTCTTAAAGCATGATTAACCAAAACACAAGTTTAGCCTTGCATATTGCACTGCAGGAGTCCCTTTTGCGGGGTTGTCCGGACATGATGTACCACCAATATCTTTTGGATTGTCATACATTTTCCTCAATACAAATTTTCATTTTGGTGTATCCCCATTTTTTTGACAAACCCATATCATCCATTATCATCCCACCATGTTCATTCCCTGGCTTAACCCCTATGATTGATTTGTTACCCTCTGGTAAACTAACATAGCTATTGAAAATGTCCATTTATAGTGGATTTACCCATTAAAAATGGTGATTTTCCATAGTTATGTAAACGTTTACCAGAGGGTACTCCCCCATGTTACCCATGTTTCACCCCATTTTTGGTGCTAAATCCATGATTTCTTCGGCCGGTTGCGGCAACCTTTGGAGCACCAAGCTGGTCCAAGGCTCTCCTTCCCATCGGATGCCATGGGCCCCTCGGGGCCCGCCCCATTCGCCATGACTTTGTCCGCGAAACCCGACTTGACGTCACTGGGCAGGAAGGAAGAGAGGCTCCTTGGAAAGGACCGACGAAGTGAACCGGGTCTGGTGGAGACTTGGCATTATTCAACCCACTTGTCAAAACTCAGCAAATAATCAGATTACAAGTGGCTTAAATTGGCTGATGCTTACTAAGTCTTAGTAAATTGGAAATAGTCCAAAATGTAAGCGGACAAACTCTACTAATCTTACTAGCTATACAATATGTTTACCATTAGACCACCAAGTGTGTTACACTCATCAAGCACTTCTTTGATCCTTCCCAACATAATCCACAATTGTTGTGTTTTGTTCCAGAACCCAAACCTGACAATGTCCCGATTTTACTCTGATTTCAGGTTTAAACTCAGTACATCTATGTTGTTGCTCTAGTGACGTCTTTCCGTTGGTCGTACAGTGATACCAGGTATTGCTGGCACATTTCAAAAAATCCAGCGATCAGAACTGTGAATCTGCATTCAAATTTGTACCAACCAAAACTATTGTTGCGGCAATTGTCCCCAATCCTTGTGTGTGTGTGTGTTCAGTGTAGTGTTTCTACTTTTGCAGTATGGTTGGTTGCCAAATGCGCGAATCATTCCATTTGAAATGATTAGCCCCTAGTTGCAGCTCTACACACCAGTTCCTGTTGGATGTTTGCAACCACCAACCAACATCAACCATCATCTTTAAGATATATGTTCTTCGGATTTCCATCGTCACATCCATGATTCACTCATTCAATAGCTGAAACTCCCTTTTTTGGCTGGTTGAATTTCGGACAAACCCATTCCTAATCCCTTTGCAATCTAGGCAAAAGGATACGTTGTTTGTTTCTTTGGGTGGCAGTTCATTAACCCTCCACATGTTCGTTTGTACCCCCAAAACATGATTGTTTATCATCATGTTTCCCATGTAAAATGGCCATCAATCCATTGTTCTGATGATTATATAAATGACTTCTTTTGGCCAAGGTCACCTAACATTTAAAGCCTACTGCTTCAGATTTGTACATATTAGATCATCATGTTCCCCATTGGAATAACCACGATCCATCTACCTGGCTGAATCATTACGATTCACCCTGAAAATAGCCATTCCATCATCATTCATATTCCATTTCTATCCATTTTTAGATGTTTTTTTCGATGGGTTTTTCCCAGCTATAAACCTCCATTTGTAGATTTTTTTTTTCCCAAATCCAATCCCATTGTGGTGACATGGGTATGGTAATCAATACCTATTTTCTTCCATTTTTAGGGGGTTATTCACATCCATAAATCCCAGCTATTTTGATGTGAACTACAGGGGTACAAGGTTTTGACACACTGCCATTTTACAATCACCATGATAATAAACCCAACAGTTAACCTAGTTACCATCTGGTTATTTAACATTTAACCACATGGTGACATCCTGCAGACGTCGTAGCCGGGCTTCTTCTCCGACTTGGCCTTGGCCATCACCGGCAGCGCCGGCTTCCGCGGCAGCCGCTGCGTGGGGGCGGACAGGCTGGGCGCAGAGTCCACGGGAGGAGAGCGGCGAACTTTGAACCTGGGTGCCCGTTGTGTGAAGGCGTTAAAAAGGTTAAAAAGGTTGGAAAATGGAAACAATGGGCCTATCATGGTGTCTATATATAATATATATATATATTATATTTATATATTATATATATATATATTATACTATATATATATTATATAATATATAATATATATATAAAGAGAGAGAGGCAGTTTATGAAATATATAATTAAAGTGGGAAAATGAAAGCCATCTCCAAGTCCCAATGGCACTCCCAACCAATGGGGGATAAAAACTTCAGGTACAAACAAAAATGGAGTTGTTTTTCAACAATAATGGAGGTATTACCAATCATAAATCAGGTATATATCACCAATAATATAATCATATATAATCATATATAATCATATATAATCATATACAATAATATGTAATCACATATAATCATATGTAATCATATGTAATCATATATAACCATAAATAAACATATATAAACATATATAGATATAACATATAAAACAACATATATATATATATATATAATTAATAAAATGGTGTCGCAGTTCGTCAGCAAAGTCTGTTTTCCCCAAAGAGTGCGTCTACACTGAGGGGTTCTTACGGTAGGTGTCAAGGCCGGGGTTAGTTCAGGGTGCTCCATCTTGTCCCTGGCTTTTTCACGGTAAATTCTCGCACAAACGTTCCCTGCCACTTGCATGGTACGCATAGCAAACTTTAATGGAACCATATGGAACCATTGTCTGCATCCCTTGGATAAACACAACATCAAATCAGCCACATTCAAATCACAGGTTCATCACCCTTGTAATTTCTATGAAAACCAGAAAAAAATTAGAAACCACCAATCCATCGCAACCTGTTTTCCTACATGTCAGGATTTTGGGTCCCTTCGGTCCCTTCGGTATCCTTCGGTGTCACCGGGTCTTAATTTCCTAGCCACGCCAGCGGATCAGCTGGAGGTGTTTTGGATCTCGCCCGCGACGCCGACGTTGCCAGTGCCACAGGTGCCACAGGTGCCGGTGCCGGCCTCGTGGGGCAAAGGGACTGAAGCCAGGACCATCCAGGACCCTACAAGGTGAAATCCCCTGGGGTGATCTACGAAATTTGGTTAAATCTAAGAGCTATAAGAAAACTGGGGATTAATGGTTGATATATGATGATGTATGATAGCTAAGTTGGTGTATCATGAGGCTCACTAGGAATTATGGTGGACATAATATATAGTCGAAAGGGTTCTAAATCAGAGATCCTCAGAGTACAGAAAACCTGTATCTGGATAAATATGAGAAATTAGGTTTTTTTCACCAACCTGAAATAAGACCAGAACAAGACAATTTTGTGATGATGCCCCTTACTACCCATCATTTCCAGTGACGTTTCAGTGAGGTCAGTATAATTGACCCATATGTTTGTTTGTATGACTTACCATATGCTCCTGTATGTCGTGGTTGTTTGCCCAACCGTCACTACCATTTGATGCACTTTGTCTCATTTTCATTTTATTAAGTGAGTTGAGAGGCAGAGTCAAACCACAACATCAGCAACTTCCCTTGCAGCTCTCATTGCTCCAATGCTCTACGTCCAGCCACATCGGTTGGTTGGGAGGAGGTGTCTTGGATCTTGCGCGCCGTGGGGAAGCGGAATCCCGTGACGCAACGCTTGCTGCAGTAGTGCGAAAGGGACTGGATCCACTTTTTGGACTGGACCCAGCTTTTTGCCTCAGATGCGCTGTGTCAAAAGTCGGGAAAAAAAAGCTGGCAAAACCTTTGAGACTTCGCCCAAGTTGACCATGGTTGACTCATCTGCAGTTAGAAATCTTAGTGACTAATATTGATTAATATTGATTAATAGTGATTAATAGTGATTAATAGTGATTGATAGTGATTAATAGTGATTAATAGTGATTAATAGTGATTGATAGTGATTAATAGTGATTAATAGTGATTAATAGTCATTGATAGTGATTAATAGTGATTAATAAAAATTAATAGTGATTAATAGTGATTAATAGTGATTAATAGTGATTAATATTGATTGATAGTGATTGATAGTGATTAATGGTGATTGATAGTGATTAATAGACATTAATAGTGATTAATAGTGATTAATAGAAATTAATAGTGATTAATAGTGATTGATAGTCATTAATAGTGATTAATAGTGATTGATAGTGATTGATAGTGATTAATAGTGATTGATAGTGATTAATAGACATTAATAGTGATTAATAGACATTAATAGTGATTAATAGTGATTAATAGAAATTAATAGTGATTAATAGTGATTAATAGAAATTAATAGTGATTAATAGTGATTAATAGAAACTAATAGTGATTAATTAATATAGTGATTAATATAGTGATCAATAGTGATTGATTAGCCACTTATAATATTACTCATAGTCCCTAGATTAGTCCCTGGGAAATCACTCGCCTTATGAACCACTTGGCCTGTTCCCCATGTCTTCTACAGAAATCGCAGGATCGAATCCTGCCTGGCGACGTCCTCAACCGAGTCGCTTAAGAATTCCCAGCAACCGTTGAGCCTATGAACCCGGGGGAACTGTCCAAATTACCTGCTGGTTATTTAACATAGCCATGGAAAATCCATTATAAATAGTGGTTTTAATGGGAAAATCATCTATAAATGGGCCATTTTCCATGGCTATGTTAGATAACCATAGGGTAATCCAAATTATGCTTCAAGTTGAGTCACAAAGACTCGTCTTGGTTAGTCTCTGAGTCTTCAAAAGTTGAAAGGGCAGAGTCCAGTCCAAAATCACAAACTTATCCCTAGCTCTGCATCCAGCCACTTTGGTTGGTCGCTGGGAGGAGGTGTCTTGGATCTTGCCCGCCGTGGTGACGCAGAATCCCGCGACACAATGCTTGCAGGTGCGGCGTGAAAGGGACTGGAGCCGTTTTTTTGCCTCAGCATTTTAGGTCAGAGGGCCCGTATTTTCTATTTGGTCGCATACCAGGCAATCAAACAGGGCAGGTGGGATATCATCTGGAAATTGAACACAAATCCGAAAGTGGTGATGTTTAGTATGGACCCAATATATAGAACATTGGAACCCAATATATTGGTGATTGGACATTTCCAGAACCATCTATAAAGTGGTGATTTCCCATTGCCACATATAGAACCCGCGCATGGAATTGTGCTGGATGTGGGATGCCAGTTTGATCAAGTCTACAAGCCAAGTGAGGTCAGGAATGGACATGTTCATAGTCGAAAAACCCGATCCACAACAACCTACCCTCTGGTAAACGGGCTACACAAAACTATGGAAAATCACCATGTTTAATGGGAAAACTCACTATAAATGGTCATTTTCAATAGCTATGTAACAAATTACCAGAGGGTATTCTGTTGGATCCCAAATGTCCAATGTTTCCGATTCCATCCCAGATTCCTCTTCATATTCCTGGGTCGAAGCCTGCGGGGTAAGCATCTAACCTTTGCGCCTGGATGCTTTGTTTCCCCTTCCCCATCTCTGTGGTTGACTTCCAACGTCTCCATGTTCACCAATCTTTAGCGATCAACATCCCTCCTGAATCAATATATATATTTATATTTATACAATGTGAGGCCCCCCAGTTATAAGTTGGTTTAGATTCGCCCCAGTAACTATAGTTATAAATCCCATAAACCATAGTGAAATTGGAGTTATGTGAACCCCAACTTAGCTATCGAACGGGGGCCTCACATTGTGTATCCCTGCTACACCAATCACCATCCCAAAAAGGAACACAGGCAGACAGTTCCACACTTTTTTTCCAGGAACCGGGGGATTCTTGAGTTGAAATAAGCCAGTTGGGTCTTAGCTAATTCAGATACAAAATGCTGAAAATGAGTCAAACACATCCAGAAAATCAAAATTTCAAAGGAAACATGGAAAAACATGGTGACTAAATATGTGACTAATTACATATATATCACATTATACATATATATAAATATATAATTAATTATACTGTAATAAGTACTATAATTTATATAATATATATATATACTATAATTATATGTGACAATTAGTTTTTTTTTGAATTTACCAACCAGCCACTTTCGATCCGACCAGTGGCACGACCCGTGAGGGACACCCGGGAGACCTCGGTGACTCGACTCGCTCGACTCGCTCGACCCGCTCGTGACCGGGTCCGCCGCCGGGTCCTGGGCCGCGCAGGTGACCAGGACCTATATGTTGCCCTGTAGAAATATTATATATATATTATATATATATATTATATATATATATATAGTATTGTATAGTAATATTTTTTTATATATTACATATTATTATAGTATTATTATAGTATTATTTTTATGTATGTAATGTATATAGTAATAGGATTAATATTAGTGTAGAAATGAAGTCACCAATCCACATTTCAAGGTCTGAACATCAGCATTATGATGCAAGTATCCTGTGCTAGGATCTGTAAGAGGGCACCAAGGTGCATGTCCAGGTGCCCAGTTGAGTTTCTCATCAACGTTAACTGAAACCACCAACATCCAGTTGATCATCCAAGAAGCTTGGCGACTTCTGGTTGAGAGTGGTTGGTTCCACATATGCTGCCACCCTATCCGCCACAGCCGCATGCTTGGCAGGTCTGGCCACGACCACCCGGGGTTGCTGCAGGCGACTGGCGGCCGGTGGTATGGCGCCGTTCACCGGGGAAGTGCTGCGCGGCCGGGCGGCCGCTTGCAACGGCGAGGCGGAACGCATGGGCGACACCGAGCGCCCCGCCGTTCGAGGACTGGGGTCTTTGGCGCCTGCGGCGTTCTGGAGAAGCTGATGCCTGGCTGGTCATGTTGAGTGCAAATGAACAAAACGATGAAACAATGCAAGAAAGAATGTCGACCTAACATGAACGTGAACTAACATATGAATTCAAGTTGTTTTTTTGGGGTTTTGTCTCGAATTCACCAGGAAACCAGGAATTCAGTACTTATACAGTACATTGGGAAAACAAACGGGGTTGAGGGTCTCTGGATTTTGAACATGCTCTTGTTTGATACATCCCCACGGCTGTTGGTTCTCGTTTATCACGATACATCCCAAGTCTTGTGGGACTTGTCATCCTCATAGACATGAATTTACATAAACAAATCACGTTGAGGATCCAAATGGGGTTTCCTGGAATGGGGATACCCCAAAATTGATTGTTTATATGGAAAATACCATCTACAAATGGATGATTTGGGGGTACCCATATGACTTAGGAAACCTCCATAAATAGATTGTGCACTCGAATCATCTATATATATGTATATATTATATAAATATATATATATATATGTACAGTATTCAGTACTTCCTCGGAAGCTACTTGGATCATCTTGGATCTAAAGAATATCGACAATGAATCCCCACGACCCCCTGGTTTCGGGAAAAATTGAACACATCCATCAGAAATCCATAGAAATCCTCTATCTTTGGCTAGTAAAGTTCATGCCCATAGGATTCATGTATGGTATATTTACCTACATTTGGGTGATTTTTAGGGCAAATGTTGGTAAATATTCCATACATGGATCCTATGGGATGTTTTTGTAGTTGTGCCCTTGGAAATTCAGAGCTGAAACCATTGCTCGGGTTGCTGCTGTTCTTGAAGCGCTTGCATCTGGCGTTGCAAGTTGCTGGCAGACTGCAGCTTGCTTCCTGCGTATGGCTGGGCCAGGTCAAAGGCTGTGCAGATCTGTGCAGCTACTGTAAACCCAGAATTAGCACACTCCTATAAGGTCGTGCCCCCCGGTTATGAGTCGGTTTATTACCCTGTATCTGTAGATATATCTACATATCTACCATACATCGATCGTTTTAATTATAATCCAACTTGGCTAACTGTGGAGCAGCACCTTCAAATTTATTGCTCTTGGGGATGATTGATTTGTCACTATTGCGATGTATTGATCTCTGGTGGGCAATACACCACTGCAAGCCTGAAAGAAGGGCTCATTGTCGTTGGTATATCTATATATATATATGTAAATATATATATATATATTACATATGTCAATGTGCAACAGGCAAGGTTCCAGCTGCTTCCCATGTTGATTTATGAAATTCCCAAATAAACAATACGCACCATCAGGCACCATCAACATCTGTTTCAGGGACAATAGCAAACCATGTAGATGTGGCGTGACACTTTTCACGCACCGACACCCAACTTGACACATGGCCCATGCACCTTTGACCCGGAAATACCCGGAAAACTTTACGAACCAGGATTTATGATAATTATGGTATCTCCCATGGTATCTCCCATGGCCATAAACAATAAATTATGGCATTTCCATGGTATATCCCATGGATTTCCATGGCTACGTTACACAGCCTTGCCTTGAGCCGATTTCAGCAGCCGCTTTTGTTCCGCCAGTTCCCGTGCACGGGGATAGGCCGCTGATACCTGATCCCAGGGAAACATCAAGCGCAGTTCCGGTCCAACCAGCCAAATTTTGTTTTTCTATTATTTGAATATATATATATGTATATATATAATATAAAATAATAAATTATAACATAATACAATATAATAAACTATTTAATATATATATATATAATATTACACGATAAAAAAAACATAAAATAAGATTTAATATAAACAATACAAACTATAAAATATAATATATGTAATAAATATTTATGTGATATATATATATAATCTGTAAAATATAATATATGTAATAAATGTATATATAATAATATAATACATAAAACAATGTATATATATAATATAATTTAATATAATATAATACAATATAATACAAGAAATGAAATAACACAGAATCTAATATATATATATATATATTATATAAACTATAACAAATAATATAGTTAATAAATATAACAATATATATATACAAAACAATGATATAGATTTAAAAATAAATAAATAATAGAAAATACGTTTTTAAGTAACATATATATATATATATCTTATATATATGTGTAATATACATATATATATATGTGTAATATATATATATATGTATATTATTACATATATATATATATTACATATAATATGTATATATAATAAATATGAATACATAGACCCTTCTCTGATCAAAAATGGCTAGCTGGGAAATCCAATTAAATGGAGCTTCTAATGAGAAAATCATCTGTACATGTAGGAATTAGTACAATCTTGGATTTGATTTGCTTCAGGGGAGCATCAAACAAACAAATCATTAAAATCCACAGTGGATTCCCCGAATGGTGGAATGATCAGACCATTTTCATCCAATTTCCATCTATTTCTTGTGGCAGCTACCATGCCTCCAATACATTGACATTATTTGCCAAATTTGGGACTGATCTCAACCTATGATCCATTCCAATGTACTGTGAGCAATGGATCGTTTGTCCCATCTTCAATAGCTATGGACCATGATGTCCCGCAACACGCGACGCGATCTGCGAGGCCGGCATGGCTAGTCAAATCGAAAAAATGTGAAATTGATGAACTGTGAAATAACCCATGAAAAAGTCTACTAACTAGAAGTCTAAAAGTGTTTTAGGAATAAAATAATCTGAGTTATCAGTGATCCCCAAAAACATCTCAAAATCCTTCAAGGACAAAGATTTCCAGAATTCAACAAGCCACTTTCATCCACTTTCCCAGGCCCGCCAGATATCCATGGCTTCCCCCCACATCGCAACCAGGGCACCGGTGCATTTTGCACGGCTGCAGGTGCCGCAGGTGCAGCAGGTGCCGCGGGTGCAGCAGGTGCCGCGGGTGCAGCAGGTGCCGCGGGTGCAGCAGGTGCCGCGGGTGCAGCAGGTGCCGCGGGTGCAGCAGGTGCCAGAAGGCGTGACCTGTGGATGGTAGAAATTCTGCAGTTGGTAGATGGGTCATGGATTAACAGTGGATGATAACCCATCCTACCAACTATTTGGCGGATATTATATTATAGTTATCCAGTTGGTATATGGATAGTTGGTGACTATTTGGTGACTATTATTATAATCACTGTTGAGTCATGTTACCAGTCGCCAACTGGTGCAGGATTACGCAACGATCCACAGTAGGGAATGCACATAAGTCCCCGTGTTCATGGGTTTTCCAATGTAGAAGGGGCCAACAAAAAAAACACACACCACTTACTACATGGGATGATCCTCCAATAATTTGGCCAAAATTCATGGGGGGTTCAAGTGGAAATTTGGAGATTTTGTTGTTTTTATACCCCTTCATTGAGTTCAATTGGGAAGGACCGATCTAAAGCAAAACTATGTTTTTTTCTCATCAAGTAGACCGCTTTCCTGTAAGTTTTCCCTTAAACCAATGTAATGACATGTGGGTGCAGCCTCGTTTGGATCAAAATTCAAAACCTGAAAGAACACATGTTTTCCTCATTTGCAACATTAAAACTTCATTTTGGGGGTTGCCATTGTTTTGGACCCATACTCAAATCTGTCCCAAACATTAAGATATACATAAGCTTGGTCTTATTTGTTTTAACATTCGGGAGGAAATACATAATTAACCATACAATCGACCCAAACATGATTAAAATGTACATACAATGTGAGGCCCCAGCTCGATAGCTAAGTTGGTGAACACAACTCCAATAACTATGGTTTATGGTATTTATAACTATAGTTACTGGGGCTTATAAACCAACTTATATCTTGGGGGCCTCACATTGTAATTAATCCACATCTTTATCTTGGGGTGTTAACGTTACCACGTCATGCGGTAACCAAGGCTGTGACTGTGGAGCCGTAGGCGCCGTAGGCATCGCACTGCTGCTTAGGACGTGCTGAGCAAGACCTGGGTTGCAACACCCAAACCGTTTGGGGGGTAATTTTGGGCAAATAAAGAGGCACATTTCACCATTTAACCCCACTTTGTGGCTATCATTTACCCATAAAAAAGCTTGGAGCAAGCCTGTTTCAGTTGATGAAATTACTTGGCTGGTGAAATCGCCACTTTGTTGACTAAAATCCCATGCACTCTTTTGTTGAAGAACACCCTCATTCATGATTCATTCCTTTCTTCACCAAACAGATAGATTCAGACAGAAACCAATCTTTTCCTGAATGGAAACCATGATTTAAAAAAAACAAAATCTTGGACTGACATCCAATGAATCTTCGGCTTCCAAGCCACGGTGTGCTGTTTGCACTTCTTCTGCCTGCGAGCGCGTCGAACGCGGCGGACTCAGGGGCGGCACTGGTGGTGCCTGCAGGGCAAGGGAATGGCAGGGGACGTACGGGGTTTCAAGTCGAACTTACTGAACTTACCAGCGAAAATGGTGGCTTCACCAGCAAAAATGGGAGTTTATCCAGGAATAACAAGAGTTTGACCAGCAAAACTTGATGATTTCACCAAAAACTACCTGCTGAGATCGGATATATCTGTGGCTGTCCGGTTGAGGAAACCATAATGAAAAGTGGCACTGGCAGTGGGAAATGTTCCGATCCACAGTTTCCAACGTGAACAAGACAAAAACACATATAGGATATAATGCCTGATCTTCCGAAAGGAAAGGAACTAAATGGAACGAACATGAACTAATATGATTTTTGGGATGTTGGGGCAATACGATCGAAAGTACTAAGCACTTTGCATTTCGGAAAACAGTACTTACAGTACATGACCTGCTGTAAGGCCCCTCAAGGGACCTGGCTTGTGATGATCTTTCAAGCAACTGCCAAGGATAATGGTCCCCCAGGATCATCAGCTTAAGGATTTCAATTGAAATCAATCGCTTTTCAATTGCTTTTCCTTTTAAACCTTCAAGTCATCTATTGATAAGCCATGATTTCAACTGAAATCAATCTACGTTCAATTGTTTTTTCCTCTTAAACCTTCAAAACATCTATTGATAAGACATGATTTCAATTGAAACCAATCGTTTTTCAATTGCTTTTCCTTTAAAACCTTCAAGTCATCTATTGGTAAGCCATGATTTCAATTGAAATCAATCTACGTAATATTGCTTTTTCCTTTAAAACATTCAAAACATCTATTGATAAGACATGATTTCAATTGAAATCAATCGCTTTTCAATCGCTTTTCCTTTTAAACCTTCAAATCATCTATTGGTAAGCCATGATTTCAATTGAAATCAATCTACGTTCAATTGTTTTTTTCCCTTTTAAACCTTTAAAACATCTATTGATAAGACATGATTTCAATTGAAATCAATCGCTTTTCAATTGCTTTTACATTTAAACCTTCAAGTCATCTATTGGTAAGCCATGATTTCAATTGAAATCAATCTACGTTCAATTGTTTTTTCCTTTTAAACCTTCAAAACATCTATTGATAAGACATGATTTCAACTGAAATCAATCTTGCTTTCACTTGCTTTTCCTTTTAAACCTTACAAAAAATGATAAACCAGACCTTCAGTTGAAATCAATCTACGTTCAATTGTTTTTTCCTTTACAACCTTCAAAACATCTATTGATAAGACATGATTTCAATTGAAATCAATCGCTTTTCAATTGCTTTTCCTTTTAAACCTTCAAGTCATCTATTGATAAGCCATGATTTCAATTGAAATCAATCTACGTTCAATTGTTTTTTCCTTTTAAACCTTTAAAACATCTATTGATAAGACATGATTTCAACTGAAATCAATCGCTTTTCAATTGCTTTTCCATTTAAACCCTTCAAGTCATCTATTGATAAGCCATGATTTCAATTGAAATCAATCTACGTTCAATTGTTTTTTTCCTTTAAAACCTTCAAAACATCTATTGATAAGACATGATTTCAACTGAAATTAATCTTGCTTTCACTTGCTTTTCCTTTTAAACCTTACAAAAAATGATGAAACAGGATTTCAATTGAAATCAATCTACGTTCAATTGTTTTTCCTTTTAAACCTTCAAAACATCTATTAATAAGACATTTTCTCTTGAAATCAATCTGCGTTCAATTGCTGTCCCTTTTAAAACTTAAATATGTTTTTTTTGACAAAGCAGGATTTAAATTGAAATCCATCTACGTTTAATTGCTTTTCGTTTTAAACCTTCAAGACATCTATTGCTAAGACATGATTTCAATTGAAATCAATCTGTTTTCAATTGCTCTTTCTTTTACTGTAAACTGTAAACCTTAAAGAATTCTTTTGATACAACAGGATTTCAATTGAAATCAATCTACGTTCAATTGTGTTTCCTTTTAAACCTTCAAGACATCTATTGATAAGACATGATTTCAATTGAAGTCAATCTGCTTCAATTGCTTTTCCTTTTAAACCTAAAGAATTCTTTTGATAAAACATGATTTCAATTGAACTCAATCTACGTTCAATTGCTTTTCCTTTTAAACCTTCAAAACATCTATTAGTAAGACATGATTTCAATTGAAATCAATCTGCTTTCAATTGCTTTCCCTTTTAAAACTTAAAGATGTTGTTTGATAAAACATGATTTAAATTGAAATCAATCTACGTTCAATTGTTTTTCCTTTTAAACCTTCAAGACATCTATTGATAAGACATGATTTCAATTGAATCAATCTGCTTTCACTTGCTCTTTCTTTGACTGTAAACCTTCAAGATTTTTGTGATAAAACACAATTGAAATTGAAATCAATCTACGTTCAATTGCTTTTCGTTTTAAACTTTGAAACCTTCAAGATATCTATTGATAAGACATGATTTCAATTGAAATCAATCTGCTTTCAATTGCGTTTCCTTTTAAACCTTAAATAATCCTTTTGATAAAACAGGATTTAAATTGAAATCAATCTACGTTCAATTGCTTTTCCTTTGAAACCTCAAAGACATCTATTGATAAAACATGATATTAATTGAAATCAATCTGCTTTCAATTGCTTTCCCTTTTAAAACTTAAAGATGTTTTTTTGATACAAAAGGATTTAAATTGAAATCAATCTGCGTTCAATTGCTTTTCGTTTTAAACCTTCAAGACATCTATTGCTAAGACATGATTTCAATTGAAATCAATCTGTTTTCAATTGCTCTTTCTTTTACTGAAAACCTTAAAGAATTCTTTTGATACAACAGGATTTCAATTGTTTTACCGTTTAAATAAACCATATACCATATAAGTATACAATGTATATGGTTTTCCAAAGTAAATGGACAAATTTTACCCAAAGAAAGAAGGATAACGGGTGTTGATTTTTTCCCCCATCCCCCAAAAAATGTGCACAACAGGGTATCATCCAACCAATTATATTATTGAGGATCTGGGTCACTCATGGGGTATCCCCTTGAAAAAAATATGTGGTTGCTGTTTTTGTTAAAAAAAAAAATGGTTTAATAAGGCATCTAATTATTCCGGGGAACCTTGCATTTTCAAGGCTTTAACATGGATATGGTTTTCTAAAGTAAATGGACCAGCTTTACCCAAAGAAAGGTGTATAAAGGTGGATAAAGTTCCTCCTGAAAATTTGGACCTGAGAAAAAAATCTCACAATAGAGGCCAACCCCACCATTTGCAGGATGCTCTATATTTTTTGAAAAAATCTCACAATAGGGTCCCATGACACTAATCGGTGTACTACATTAAATGGTTTTCAAAATTGGATTGTTGACAAATATGTTATATAAGTTGTATATAATATATACTATATAACACACACGCATATATAACATATATATATATACATGATACATGGGTATGGAGTAAAACACCGGACCCAATTTCTTTGTTGTTATATGTATACTAATCGCCTGATTTCGCTGGCCCCGTATGTATTTTCCATGCTAGATCAAAAACATGACAAAAAATGGATACCCTCAAAAATCGACAACACATAAGGATTCTATTCCCCAGGACCACTGAAACATGGAACTACCCAACCTTGACCCTGCAAAGCTATGCTGGTGTTGCTTTGTATCCCATGTGAAAAATCATCCTCTTCCCCAGTAAACTGGAGATTTTTGGGTCCCCCCAAGGCCAGCTGGCCACCTGGAGTGGTTCTTGCACCAAATATGGAGACCTCAGGCTGGGCAAGTCCATGGCCAATCTTAGGATACAGTGCAGCAAATGGGAAATCAGATTATAGTGATATTTTTCCGGCCAAAATAAAGAGATATTTAGCATATATACACTCATATACGTCAAATTGTGTTTCGAATCATCAGGCTTTCAAACGGAGGACCCGAAAACACACGATTGAAATTTTAGGTGATATGGTTCTGTCTTTCATTTGGGGTTGCCCAACGAATGAGTAAACCCCATCTGTGGCCGAAGAGATTTTCCAGCCCTTGACCATTGTAGACGCCGCGTTTTTCCGGTTCAGAGTTTACATGAAAACCACCCCAATCTTTACCCAACAACTACCCGAAACGTTATTTCTTCCCGAAACGTCATTTCTAGATGGTTTGTGGGAGTTGGGGTTCCACAATGTTAAAATGGCCTCGTATCCAAGAATGAAATGATAAACAATATCAAACAATAATAATCACAATGACTATCCTCTGGTAATTTACCATATAGATATATAAATATAACATATCAATGAAAAAACACAACCTTCAATGGGAATATCTGGCATAATTATCATTAATCATAAATATCTTCACCAGGTGAAAATTTACCAGAGGGGAACACTATATTCAAAAGCGTATTGGAAAAACAAATGTAATACTACAATGTGAGGCCCCCAAGATAGCTAAGTTGGTTTATAACTCCAATAACTATGGTTTATGGTATTTATAACTATAGCTACTGGGGTGAACATAAACCAACTTATATCTTGGGGGCCTCACATTGTACGTAACACAAATGTATCAGTGAACATCCCAGTAACATCAACGATGAACAACAACAACAACAATGCCAATGATGCTGATACCCTCTGGTAAATTAACATAGACCCTGGCAGATAGGGGTTGGAAGATTAGTTTCCATTAAAACTAGGCTATTTTCAGGGTCTATGTTAATTACCAGAGGGTAATATGTTTTAATAACTATGTTTCTTATATTATCAGTATCATCGGCATAATTTAGTCCTGATAATAAAAACATAAATAAACAGATGATAACTATTAATAGTTAATGGGAATATCTGGCATAAAATAATTAATCATACCATTAACAATGGGAATACACAACTGACTTATACCCCACCTGGGTGATGGTTTTAATCATCTTGAAAAATATTAGTCAATGGGAAGGATGACATCCCATATATGAAATGGAAAATAAAATTCAGGTTTGAAACCACCAACCAGCCACTCATTTCCTTTAAACAAATCCCCCATGTTGATCCAAATCATCTCATGGTCCAGGCCACGGGGGAGTCCCTGCTGAACTCGCCGCGAGCAGTTCCTGCTGCTGCTGTTGGAGTTTCATCAACTCCTGCGTGGAAGAACTGCAGCGACCGGACTGGCAGCGTTAAAACGGGCGAACGAACAGAAACCATGACCTCAAACCTACGGACAAAAACGATAGTTACACAATAAAAAATGAGGATTCATGATTCAAATGAAACCAATTTACCTAGGGGGGCCCACCTTATATCAACCATATCCGAACCATACGGTGTGGCCAAAACTCAACCCACCAAAAAGCGGCGTTTCCTGGCGCTGTGACTCTCGTCTTGCCTCTTTTGGATCCTGGAAGCTGGACTCAGCGGGAAGTCCGTAAGCCCGGCCTAGACTTTTTTTGGGGAGTTTTCATACATGTGGTATTTTGGATGGTTATATCAGTTATATCCAGTTATTTTTGATAACTTAATAACCATCCAATATGGCGATATAACCATCCAAAAAAAAAGTTATCATTTATCAGTTCTATCATACCCTATGGATCCAAACACTGTCTGAGAAGGTACTCAACCCTCCAAAATATAGTAAATTATACTCCAAACACTTCCTGAGAAGGTACTTGGGTCCATGAAGATAGAAATCATGTTTTTGTTTCACGCGAAAAAAGAAGACAGGGACTTTTTTGTCTTTCATTCAAAAAACATGGTCGAATGTTTCTCAAATTCTTCAACTGATAAAAACACATGGAATTCAACCACCAAAATGCTGACTGAACGAGAAACATGTTTATGCAACCAATAAAGACGGGGTAAGTCACCCCAAAAAAAAGATGATCAAACCAATAACTACATGTGTATATATATATATGTATATATTCGATTCAAACCATAAAATCTTACCAACAGAAATGGGGGTCCATAAATAACATGTAGAGACCACAGATTCACTGGTGATTTTGAGTCTTGAAGTGCCCATCTTTGGGGCACAGTTGGCTAAGCTGATTGATGATAACTAGGTCTACTGGGGTTTAGTTTGTACTACTGAAATCTACTCCTAGGAAAACATTTAATAATACTAGTACTGTAAGTAATACTCATACGTATATTAATGAGTTAAAACTATTTAAACTTTTTCTAACTAGGTCCACGGCACGCAGCCGACCATGAGACAATGTGACCATGACGCTTCAATCTGCTTTCTTTTATGACACATGCCTGCCATCAGGGACAGCGGCTTCACACCTTTCTGCTATTGGGGAAAGCATTTTTTGTTTATTGTTTTTCAATTGCCGGAAATTACTTCTTTTTTTGGAGGAAGCCGTTCATCCGTAATGTGTTTTTCAAAAGTCCAAGAAAGTGCGTCATCTCTTTGGGTGAGCAATGTAAGAAGACACTTTGACACCATGTCCATTGTTGGATCATACAATTCACACCTTTGTTCACAAAGTGATGACCGTCCTTTTTCTCGACTGCTTGCAGTTTCGAAGGCAGCCAAAACTTCAGATTCAGCCACACACGGTCTATGGTTTGTGTCCCTGCCAACGAACTTAGTTTCGAGGCAGGCTTCCGCAAAACTGGAGGTAAACTGCTTTCAATTTTTCTCAAAGATCTCTGCGCCGTGGTCCAACTCAAAGCAAGTGGCGTAGTATAAACCAACTTACAACAGCACCTTGCAGGATGCAATCATGGGATCACACCATGCCGGTAAGTGTGATGCCAACCAACATCTAATAGTGATCTGAATAAATCAAATCTGTGACCATTATTTAACCATGGTATGATCCTGATTCATAACAAATAACACTGGTTACCCATTCCGTAGGTTATCCCATTTATAAGTGGCTCATGAGCCCATTTACTAGTGGCACTTTCTATCCATGGGTTGATCCATTCCCGTATCACTCACTTGCCAATTGTCATTTGAAATTGAAATACCCTCCGGAGTCATCAAACATTGCTGGAATGTAATCTATAAATGGAAGTCTATAGCTGGGAAAATCAACTAGAAATGGGAGATTGTCCATTTCCATGTTTGATAACCAGAGGGTAATGTAGTAAAAAAAAACGAAGACTCATCCTCTGGTTTTGCTTGGGTAATCCATTACGAGTTGTTGGGTTGGTTTTGCTTTCCATTCCATATTAATGGATAATCACTCCACTCCTTGGAATGCAGAAGAAAATCCCCATGGAGACTGGGTCTGGAGATCTCTGTCTACCGCTGATCTCCCAATTTTGGTCAGATCCTCATAATTTCAAAAACAAATCCCGGGGTTTATTTATGAAATCCCCACACTTGTTTGATGAAACGCCATGTTTTTCTGTTTTGATTCCATGGTTTTGGCGCAAATTTCACTTTTAAGGCTGGTTCCATCCAAGAGAATCCAGGTCTTCGACCGGTCTTCACTGTTGAAATCCCTTGGTTTTTGCCACCGATTCCGATGTCAGGCCTGCACTGTCTGGTCCTCTGGAGCGCCCCTGGCTTCACGGCCAACTGCTTGGGTGCTGGGGACGATGATGGTGAACTCTGCGGGAATCCTAAACCGTTTATAATGTATAACTGTATAACACAATGGATTATCAGAACCATGATAAACCCCAAGATATTGGGAAGCGTTTCACCGTTTGACATCTTTTAACCCCCTGCAATCATCTTCCCCAACCATCATTGATCAGTGAAATATTTCCATGTTGAAGGTTAAAACCAAAGTGTAAGCGATGATGAATTCCTGTTTTGTAACATCAAGCGATGAGTAGATTGCCACTGCAGCTGGCTCCGCAAGGTGCGCCTCTCATGCCATCCGTACAAAGATCCCATCGTGGCTGGCAGAAAACCCTGAGAACTTGTGGTAACCTGGGCGGCAGGGGCATCTCAGAACAACAAAACGGTTCCATGATGTCCCCTGACATCCTGAACATGTGGATAATGTGGTTATAAATTCTGGTTGCTGGTTGCTGCTAACCCCTCTGAAAAATGATGGAGTGAAAGCCAGTTGGGATGATGATTATTCCCAATGTATGGAAGCATAATCCATTCATGTTCCAAACCACCAACCAGGATTATACATGAAGACATAAAAATGACTATAAAAACTAAATAGTTTGCAAACAACGTGAAAAAACAATGATGAACACACGGGTAAAACCCAAACCACCACCCAGATGGGTGGCAGTTTGTGGTGAGCAACATGTTGGATAGGAAAATGATATCCTGTCAAGTTCCACGTGGGTGTTTTTTGAAAAAAAAATCCAAGGATCTAAGGTATTTTGCCACCAACATATATTCAAAAAATCATTGGTGGTTAACAGTCCCTACATTTCAGGAAACACTATGAAATAATGCCCAAAACTCTGTTGTATTGTTTGCTACTGGTCAATGAACATGTCCACATTACAGAACCCTGGGACCCTTGGAAGACTAGAAACAAACCCGTTGGAACTTCGAACCCTTTTTTTTCTCCATGAATCAAGCGCGAGGCGAGCAACTGGTGGTGGTGGAGGACAAAAAACCGCCGCAGGCTGTGCGGCTGGCGGCGGGGGTGGCTGCCAATGGAACGCAGGCTCCGCAACGGGCAAAGGCTGCGGTGGGGGAGGCGTCCTGATGCAAAACATGACCAAAAGGATGGGGTCGAGGGTGCCCTGACAGTTTCAGGTCAGGCGTTTCTTCATAACACATATACACATATATTAGCTTTATGTAATTTGCGGCATATTCAATATAGGTATATATTATATATATAGAGTGTATAATATATATATATATATTATATTTAAAATATTATATTACAGTAATATTAAGTGCAAAAGAAGTGGGCACAAGGCAATATCGAAAAAAATATAATATGCCGACCAGTGAACACGGGAAACGTATCCCTCCCGAATCACATGCACACATGGGATCCTAGTAAAAGAAGCACTATGCCACGAAGAGGGTCGCATTACATCAGCAGACCAACAGTTTGATTCTGTTGGTCATCTATTTGACTTGACTATTGTTTGATTCTGTTGGTCATATATATCTGGGTAAATTATAATAATTCACTAACCTGAAATAAGGCTATCTTGGGGATGATTCCCCTTACTAACTATGATTATAGTGAGGTCGCGACGTGAGGTCGTGATGAAATTTACCCAGGTATATGAGTTGACTAGGAATAGTTAACACTAGAAAACTATGTAGTGGGGCCTCTTCCTCACTCCCTAAGTTACGTATTCGAATGGGTCACCTCAGTAGCCGCAGAAACCATCGAGGCTTAACCGCAGAAACCTTGGATGATCCTGAGCAGTTAGGAAATGGCCCGCAACTGAAGGGTTACCTGGGTTTGTTACTGGGATTTACTGGGCAATAGCGGTATAACTTCATGATGGTAAGAACCTCTACAAGCTGGGATATAACTTGATAGAACCCCAACTATGGTTCAATGACCCGCCTATTGCTTTGGTGGAACTGCACCCCCAAGTGACTACCCCATTAACAACATGGGTGACATAATCCAGCGACTATCCATTTAATCATAATCCATTCACCCCATTTACTAAGAAGCAGCCTTAAAAGTAAAAAACATGTGGAATGCCATTGATATATTTATATCTAGGACTCCCATTTAGTATGGTGATATGTTTGTTGTTTTTTGAAAAATGACATGTTTTAAATGTGAGTGAGAAAGAAATAAGCGGCTCTTCAGACACACGCGCACACACACAAACTCTGCTGAATGAGTAAGCGATTTACTGTGATTTACTCTCTATAGCCACTCTTAGAAAATTGAAATAGCCGTCTAACAAAACAGAAGGCAACAGTTCAAACAGATCTGATGCAGGTACATGCAGCTGATCAGACTGCATATCCTCTCCAAACATCAGTAGCTTCGTTGGCCACGGACTGATGAATGGAGCCGCGGCCCCCTGGAGTGTTGAATGAATTCATGGTTTTGATTCTTCACCGCATCAGAGCTAGCAGTACATAAACACACACACACATACACACACCGACTATCACCTAAGACCCTAAAACCTGGCCACAACCACCCCGGTTACTAAACAGTCACCAGCAGCAAATGCTGCTGACCTAACTGACCTAACTGAAACAACTAACCTAACCCTAAGGCTCCAAACACCTTCTGAGACTGTAGTTGGGGTCTATAGGGGTGGTTGGAAATGGGGCCTATAGTTACACATAGTTACACCTTCTCAGAGGCTATGGAGCACCGACCGAACATCCAAGTGGTCACCTGCCCAGCCTCTCTCGTTGCTCCGCATCGCCCTGCACTTGCCCTGGCAGCGCCGCGACAGACGCCGCGTCAGGTGCTGCGACACCGCGGCCGCGCGCCCAGCGAGAAACGCGCGGAGGGGCGGCCTTAGGCTGTGGTAAACTGATCTTGGACATTCCTGGAGTATGAAAAAACCGGTGAGCAGTGTTCAAAATCCCTCTGTCTTTCTATTATACTGGTTGCTTAAGAACGGGATTCCCCTATTGGGTTATTATAATATATTATAATTCCCAATATTGGGTAGTATAATCCCCGAACTAATCATCAAGCAACCAGGGTTTTGCAGCTGCTCAGGTCAGGTGAACCGGTTAACCCAAGACTGGTTCCATGTTGATAGCATGTTTGATCACTATTTAAGCCTTATTTTGGTGGTAAACACCCTAAATTGCTCAAGTTTACGAGTTTATGAATCTGGGGTTAACATTGAACGCAAGCAAAGTATGCGGTGGCTACCAATTGGGTCAAATGAGGATCTATGTCATGGTATGTCTAAGTATTAGGAAGACCATCTAGAGACTTTGAGTTTTCGAGCCAAAAGTTGTACCCTCTGGTAATTTAACATAGCTATGGAAAATCACTATTTTTTTATGGGAAAATCCACTATAAATGGCCATTTTCAATAGCAAACTGTAAACGTTTACCAGAGGGTACTCTACCTCATTCAACCGCGGTCTTTTCCAAGTTGTACTCGGTACTGTGGGGGTCCAGACCTGAATCCTACACTGTCCTACCATACTGACAGGAGCCATCACTTTATAACTGATTAAAACCACCATGGCAAATCATAGTGGTTCATTTCGGGTAATATATATATATATGTAATATATGTAATATGATATGGCAATTGAATCAGACCATGTACGGATAATATGGATTTCCCGATAGATCACATTGCTGGAGAGTACCCCAAACCACCATTTCACCATCCCCCTGAGGATTTCCCAAAACCGAATTACACAGAGCAAGAACCGGAAAGAACTGGCTGAAGCACCACGTGTACCCTCCGGCATAATCAAACATGGCTAGCTGAAGTCCCCTTTAAATGGATGTTTTAATGGGAAAATCATCTGGTTATAAAAGGTAGAAGTTCATTTTGTTTCTCATGAAAATTGGGATTTTCCGTTGCCCTGTTTGATTCCTGAAGGGTATCTTTGGGGTAGAAATATGTGCGGCCCTTGTTTTGCGTACATCCCCTTCTCCTCAATGAGGTCTCCGGCAGTGTTGAATGTAGCCCACCGATAAACAGTACGATACAGCTGCGGAAACCACGTTTCCAAAGATTGCACACACACGGAAACATGGGAGGAAACCACCTTTGGAAACATGTTCTCATGTGGGTTTCTCTGAAAAATGTCTGGAAATAATACCCATAGGATCCATGTATGGTATATATGCTAACATTTGGGGTATATTGATGATCAATGTTACCATATATAGCATACATGGATCCTATGGGATATGGGATACCATGGTATCCCTAAATCCAGTGGTTCAGGATCCTGGATCCCTACAATGTGAGGCCCCCAAGATAGATAAGTTGGCGAACATAACTCCAATAACTATGGTTTATGGTATTTATAACTATAGTTACTGGGGCGAATCTAAACCAACAAACATATCTTGGGGGCCTCACATTGTATTAAAATGGACCATTTTCAAACACATCACAAGCTCTGCCAAGATACCTCCACGACCCCATCCAGTTCCTCTGGCATCGTGGTGTCTGCAACAGCCTCCAGGTGCCTGCGGCGATTGACCCAACCGGCACCTAGAAAATGACGGCTGCGTCGAAGCCCTAACTATCAGTCATTGGGAATCATGATCCTAAGCATGGTGAAACATTATATATATATATATATATAAATATCATATATATATATAATTTATATAATCATATATATATATATAATTTATATAATCATATAAATATATATAGTTATATATATATATATATTATATTCCTATGGGTCCAAAGACTTGAGAAGCCACAAGCAGCTCCCCGAAAAATCACCCACCAACGGCTGGATGCTCTGGGTGATCATGGGCCCAGTAGGGATCATCCAGAGAAAAATCCCCATGTTTTGGCAGTTTTTGGTGCCGGAAACGGGTTGCCCAAACAAGAAACGACTCTGATATATATATATATATATAATATGTATATATATATATAGTGTAGGTATGTAATGTATATAAATATTTGTAATATGTCTGAAAGCCCCAAATCCTGTGCTTTCGAACATCATTTCTTGCTATTTGATGTATATTTGAATCTACAGTACCCAAATTTTCCAAATTTAATATTTCAAGTCATCAGCAAGGCATAGGACTCTGGTAAACCAACATAACTATGGAAAATCACCATTTTTTGATGGGTAAATCCACTATTTCGACTGGGCCATTTTCAAGTTCGCAAACTGTTTGACATATACCAGAGGGTATATCATGATAATGTTCATGGAATACATCGGATACCATCTGGTAATTTGTTACATAGCTAATTCCAGGGATTATCTATAATGGTTGACTCCCTGTTTCTCATGTGGCAAGAGTTCCCATCTTACCTGAAATATGTCATCAGCATCCCGAAATCCTCTGGTCAATCATCCTTTGTCCTGTATGAAAATGCCAAGTGTATGTTAAAAACATAGGTTTCATCATGTTTCATCATGAATTCCCAGAAAATAAAACATATCATAATTCACGGCATTTCTACAAGTTGTGGAAATTTCGAGGACCAAATTTAGCATCGCTTTCGGGAACAACGCCATGGTTCGCCCCCCGTTTTTTCTATGGCGCCTCGTTGCGCCAAATGTGGACCTCTCCGTCTCGCTTTTGGTTTCTGCGGGCTTCAGCGGCTTCACCTGCGGCAAAGTTCGCCAACCAAAATTGTGGTATCATGGGGATATTATACTGGGATAAATGGCATTTAATGGTGGTTTAATGGGATATTATGGTGGTTTAATTGGATCTAATGGGAATTTCATGGAATTTCAATGGATAACTGGTTGGTGGTAATTCAACCCCTCCGAAAAATATGAAAGTCAGTTGGGGTTACTATGCCCAATATATGGAAAATGTAAAAAATCTTCCAAACCACCAACCAGTGATATAATTTTCATGGGAATAGCATGGATTTCAGGATTACCCTCTGGTAAACGAACTTACACAACGAACTGGAAAGATCCACCATTTTGTAGCTGGGTAAATCAACTATTTCGACTGCGCCATTTTCAAGTTCGCAAACTGTAAACGTTTACCAGAGGGTATATCATGATAATGTTCATGGAATACATCGGATAATTGCCATCTGGTAATCGGATACCCTCTGGTAAACTAAACATAACTATGGAAAATCATCATTTTAATGGGGAAATCCACTATTTCAATGGCCATTTTCAATAGCTATGTTAAATTACCAGAGGGTATCCCCCGGCAGGTATTTCTAGTGACACCAGACTGCAGATCATCCCTTTTCCACGGCAAAAGTATCTGGATGACCTGTGTAGCAACTGCTGTCTGGCAAAATGACCTCGTGCTTTTTACGAAGAAAAAAAATACCCATAGGATCCATGTAAATGTATGGTATATATGCTAACATTGGGGATATATTGATGGTAAATGTGTCCATATATAGCATACATGGATCCTATGGGATATGGTTTCATCCCCAGTAATCTGCCGTGGATGGTTCCTAGCTGAATGGTGATGGGATGACTCGCTCCCAAAGCAATTGCCATCTGCCTACAGCTTTGAACGTACCCTCCTTGATCAACCATCAGCCCATCCTCATTTCCGTCATATATCAGCTATCACAACACAAAATAAATCTTGATACTAAGACCTTTCTTCAAAGAAGATTCTCAATAGCAATTCACAAAGGTCGTCAAAGCATGTGTCGAATTTTGTGTCATCCATTTTTTTTCTTAACGTGGGAGAAAACCAACATCATCCAATTTACCCTCTGGTAAACTAACATAGCTATGGAAAATGGCCCATTTAGTTCAATGGTTTACCTATTCAAAATGGTGATTTTCTATAGTTATACTTGATTTACCCATTGAACATGGTGATTTTCTATAGTTGTACTTGATTTACCTATTCAAAATGGTGATTTTCCATAGTTATAGTGGATTTACCCCGTAAAAAAATGGTGATTTTCTATAGCTATGTAACACAATTACCAGAGGGTAGTCATTTTCAGAGGGGATACGCCAACACCACGGCGCGCCACGGCGCCCAAAACGGCGCCAGCGCACCTTCTTGCCTTGCTCCCTGGAGGTTTGTCCTGGTATAGTTATGTCCCGGGGTGAGCTGGTAACGGATGGAAGTGAGGATTTGGGCTTGATATATATATACCTATGTATATATATATATATCCAAGATTATCGATCTATATATATATGTATATATATATGTTATATTTGTATATATATATATTATATATTTGTATCCGCGATATGTCTACAATAAATCCGTGATATATGTATGATATGAATCACCCATGGGATGGGTCAAAACATCCCCATACTGCCAAGGAGGGCGATATGTTAGGATAAATCAAAACACCAAATAAGGTTCGTGTATCACTTGACAGTATTACAGTATGACAGTTGTACAGGTACACCCATGAATGATTTCATTCATGTTGCTTTGAAAGCTCAACATGGTGGACATTTCAGATACACTTTGGACATTGAAAACGCGCAGGTAGAGAGTATAGCTGGGTGAAGTAGCCCAGTGCTTTCCAGTGTGAAAAAGCCGCTGTCATAAACCATCCCAATAACTCACCAGAAATCAGTACAAATTGAAACTCTCCAAAGTTCAAGGTTTATTGCATTGATTTCACCCTACCACACCGGATTATTTGCTGATGTCCACGATCCTCCCAGTGGTTAATATATGTTGATACATAACCATAGTTAGAGGGTTATATCCCAATGAAGGTTATTGCCATGGTTATATATGGTTATATATCATATCCATCATATCCATTTGAAACCCCATTTGAGCATCCCACAGGTGTATGAATGTTTATGATGACCACCAGAAGTGATATCTATGTGTTAATTTCAAGGTATAAAAGTAGTGTTCACCGAAGAGCACCCACTCCCCGGTATCCCTTGAGTCCACGAACCTGTCGAACTCGCATCCTCGATTTGTTGAAAGAAGTCACCATGGCATGTTTTTTTTTGGAACCCCCGATATTTCATAGGACAATGACTGGTTTCAGAGAACAAACTTCATGTTCCACAAGTAAACGCTGCATGTCTAATAAATTCCATCAAAAAACACGGCTGTTGAAAAATCCTGCATTCAGCTTGCGGAAAGAAGAAAAGAGACGACTTTCCAGATTTGCTCTTCCCTCACTAAATGCCTGATTTTCTTTAAAAAAAAGGGAGACACCTTTGTCATTTGCTAGTAACCCTCTGGCCACGCACGATGTACAGGCCGCTGGTTTTAGTAGCCTTTCACCTCGCAATGTCCACCAAACCATGAATCTTTCATCCATGTTTCATCGGGCTTTGAAGTTTTGAGAGACCCCAGCACATGACTGTTGAGAACCCATTCAACAAGGAAAACATCGGCCAAACATACGTCAGCACACCGTCCATACACGAAACACAAGATCTTCCAGAATATGAGTGCAACAACAATATGTATACATGTATGAATGTATATACTTATATATATAAGTAATTATATATATACACGTATAAGCATGTATAAGTGTATATATATATAATGTGCAATGTAGGTGAACGGAACTACCGCAAAACGGCCCTGGCTCCGTCTTGCCGGCTCCACAAATGGAATCCTCGGGAAATCTATGGCCACTGGTCATTTTTAGTCCATTGGACTACAGTATCCCAGGCGCTGGGATGATAATCAACCTTTAATGGATCATAAATATATCTGGGTAGATTTTGCTATATTTCACCAACCTGAATTAAGGCCATTTGGGAATGATAGATATATAACTGTATGGATCATAAATATATAAATGTCATAAATCCAGCAAAACTCACCCCACATTCCAAATAAGAAACGAAACAACGTCTTGGGTTTCTGTGAAAATAGGCTAGCCACATAGACTTGAAGATTGGAACACCTCTTTCCAAGCTGCTCTGCTAAACACACCATCCTTCTGCACCACCGAAGACCTGCAAACTGACGCAGTTGATGCAGTGGCACTGTGCCAGTGATCCTTCAAGAAATATATGTATAATATTGTGGAAAAACAATGCAAAACCATCAGTTGCGGATCATTTTCCGGTTTCTATGGTTAAAACAAGCATGTTGATTTACCAGAAGGTCCACCTCTTGGTTTTCTCCTCTTGCACTTGACCCGTAACTTGTGGTCCCAACAGCTTCCCCATTGATGGTCGCCAAAAAATGATGGCCAATTTGGGATGGGTTTGATGTGAAGAAAGGGCCAGAAAACATGGTTCCTTCAACAAAGCTTGCCAACTGCTGCGTTTGATGCCCCAACTTCCCACTTGGATTGGGAATTACAATTAATCATAATTGATCAGTGGGTATGTGGCATGTTGGCTCTGTTTTTCAGGATGACAAAAACTCAGCTACTAAATCTTAGTTTCCAGATCCTACTGAAGCAGTGAGATCTTCAGGTCACCAACTCACACAAATCTGTGGATCATGTTCACCAAGATGATTGCATATCCATCAGTCCAATGATCCAATTCGTAAGCTAACATATTCTTCAGTTGTCTAAGTTATCTACCATTATTAATATATAATTCCCATAAAAGACATTGTAAGATCAGTGTGGGATCTCAAACTCAGCAAGAGGTTAGTATGGAGCTCCTTAGCACTGAGACCCTCCAAGTAGCCACAAACATGTGGTAAAGTCTTCATAATGGTGTATAATATGTGTATATATATATTATACATATATATATATATACATTAATATGATTATGTATATATATATGTACACTACATAATATTACGTTCTTTTTCTAGGTACTTGGAGGGTCTAGGCACGTGGACTGCGGCCTCACGGCCAAGACCTTGAACAACTGCCAGATCCAGGACACCCAGTGATGATCGACCACGAATTTCCAAAATGTTTGGATGTTCCAATTTTTTGGATGGTCAGGTCCACATTTCCGTGAAAAATCAATGCTGGTTGGTGGTTTCAACCTACCCCTCTGAAAAATGATGGAGTGAAAGTCAGTTGGGATGATGAAATTCCCAATATATGGAAAAAAACCATTAACATCCATTAACATCCATGAAACCACTATAATCCATTATTCCCAACTGAATGGAAAGTCATAATCCATTCATGTTCCAAACCACCAATCAGCATGTGTTTCAAACACCATTGGATCATCAAAATTCAACTCCCAGAAGTCCCATGTGCCGAGCCTTTGCTGCGAACGTCGGGCCGTGGCCAAGTTTGGCCCAGCAGCCTCAGCATTGTCACTAGCAGCCTTGAAACCTTGACCCCCCACTTTGGGTGAATGTAGTGAGTTTACAGGATAATGGATAAATAATGCAGCATTTTTTTGGCGTTTCAGGGTCTATGTATTTCTTTAGTTTGTATTGATACCAATAGTTTGATTGGTTTAAACTTTTCAAGCCCTTCTTGTTGCGAGTTATCCCTGGCAATCCAAGTTGGCAATGGGAAAATCAACCATGGCGGGAAAATTCTGCAGAAATTGGCAAATGCTACCCTCTGGTAATTTTACATAGCTATTGAAAATGGTCATTTATAGTGGATTTTCCCATGAAAAATTGTGATTTTCCATAGTTATGTTAGCCCGTTTACCAGAGGGTACATGATATATTTAAAGTCTTATATGAATGCCACCAACTGTGGGTAGTTGGATGGGAACATAATTTATCTATAGATGGTCTATGTTCAATATGTATATATATACACAGTAGCCAAATGGCCGCATTAAACTCCCAGAGGCTAAATTAATTTGAAAGGGAAAGCCATCTTTAACTTTTGATGGATGTAACAGGAGGGTACCAGCCTGGAGATCGGAAGAACATGAAAGAACATTTGGACATAAGGATGTGACCAATAAATACCAATAATCAAAAGATCACATAAAAACGCTGGGCAAAATTGTATTCTGCTGCAGGCATTCCATGGATCTTAACAAACGAGTCTGTGGATTCTTACAGGACAGCTTTGCAGCGCAGGTCAGAGTGAAAGTGGGGAACCTGAAGAATCTGTGCACAAACCAAATCATAGCATTGAGTCATTGGAGGCATCCAAAGTTTGAGCACACACTTTAGAATCATTGGATTGGTTTATGGGTTACAGGAAACCCCGACATTTAATAGTAAAAACAAATAAAAACCATGGTTTCCTGCAATTTGTCCCTTAAACCAATCCAATGATTGAAACAATGACTCAAATGGTGAACACAAATTCCTCTGACAGCTGGGCATCAGTGCTGCTGTTACAGGTGACTTGCTTCGCGTCTTTCTGGGACCTCGGCATGACAGTGACAGCCACTTCAGTGTCCTTTGAGCTGTGCACTATTGCACTGATCAGAGCTGAGTTTGAAACCAGACATCACTTTACTGATACAAGGTGGTGCCCCCCCAGTTATAAGTTGGTTTATAATCCCCATCAACTATAGATATAACCCCCATAAACCCTAGTTATTGGACTTATAAACCAACTTAGCTAACTATGGGGCATCACCTTGTACCGTTTTCAGGTCTGATACTGGAACGGAGTCGGAGTGGAACGGAGTGGAAGGGAATGGTACGAACTGGAACAACAAGTATGCCGCAATCCCTTCTCAAAGCTGCTGTATAAGCCATATCAAGCCATCCCTTCAAAAACCAGTTGGTAGATGGTTTATCCATGTCTATACTATCATATACTATCATATACTATCATATACTATTCACAGCCACAGCTAGTGAAAATGTGTCATTCACCACGCAAGCAGTTCCGCTTTTCGTCTTTCCCCACAGGATGGCCAGGGGATGTCGATCGAATTTACCTACTTTAAGTGGTGCCCCAGTGAGGCAAATCGCGTTCAGTTGGGGTTCACATAACTCCAATGTCACTATGGTTTATGGTATTTATAACGAACTAGTTACTGTATCTGGGGCGAATCTAAACCAACAAACATATCGAACGGGGGCCTCACATTGTAGGTATATTATGGATTATCATGGTATATCTATACTTACTATGATTTATAAACCAACAAACATAACTGGGGGGCACCAGCTTGTAGTGAATGTCTGTAAAATAGAGTAAGTAGGCAGGCTGTCCACCGAAAAGGCTTTGTCTAAAAAATATTGAGAAACAAAAAACCGATACCCCACGAACAATTTCCACTATTTCATCATGTTTTAATCATCAATTTATGAACATGGACATAGGGTGTTACAGTAATTCCCCATTTTCAGACACACCCAGATGGGAATATGACAGACTTGCCAAGTAGGATGGACCACTAACTATAACCCTATGGATGCAAGTATATACCTTTTAAGAAAATAGTTCGGGTAATTGTGATTTGGGGACTTAAGTTTCTCAGGGAGTATGTGGACCCATAGGGTAAGTATGGTTTTGACCCATCTCCAATGAAGCAACGATCCAGTACTGAGCCTGGTGCTTTTTGATCTTTCCTCTTCACAAACCTTGTGACGGGACTCCCGCTCAGCATCTTTGCCCCAAGATGTCTGATTTCATTGTGAACTGTTCCGTCGGAATGGGGGACATTTTGATAAATGGCCGCTATTGCAGCATTGTATCCGGTGGATGAGTCAACAGTCAGTTTTCAACCTATCCCAAAAATACATACACATGATACAAATGCATATAAATGCATGCAAAGTCGCTAGTCCATTTAAGATTTTTCAGCCTAAAAAGGATAAACCGTTCAACGCACCAAGCAGATAACTCCTGTTTTATCTGAGACCTACTACGGAACTAGACTTTGCCAGTGCAATTGCTGCAGCTGAAAAGCGTCTTTCAAAGCATCCTTGCTGCTCTTCTTGGCCCTCCTGTCCATGCTGCAGATCGAAATTCGTTGTCTCATCACCGGCCAGAATCAAAACTGATGTGAAACGCCTTGAGGTAATTCCGTGACATTTCCAAGACTTTTACACTGCTTTACATGGGAAAAAGAAGTTGAACTATCATGAACACCGGCTGAACAGAGACTCACGGAGCTGAAATCCTTTCAACAAGACCCGGGAGGCTGGAGGGCATTAGGACGCAGGTTGAAGATCGCTGATATCTGGACAAATCGTTGATCATTTTCAAGCATGTTTTCTTTTGTGAGATACAATTACACCAGAGCAGGTTCGGTGGTACAACAAAAGCTAGGCAGACCTCAAGCCAAAGGTCAGCTCGTCAGGCATGGCATTGGATTTACTGTAGTCACCAAGTAATTACTGCATATATACCATTGGTGGATCTAATTAATTACCTTCTGAGGAAACATCACTGGGGTGTCAAGATGCTTCTCAGGGAGATTCAAGAAGAATCTGGATCCATGACAATCACAGATGTTTTCTCTCTTTCAAATGAAAAACGTAAATTTGCTTACTGGTGCTTAGCAGGGAATGAGGGAATGATCCATTTCATCACTAGTAATTTCATCATCCCAGCAACCCCCATTCCCATCCATTCCCTACGTTTAGCACCAGTAAGTTTGAACATCTTTGAACCATCCAAACGCTGGTTTTTCCCGATGTTGCTTCACGGCTTTGGTGCAACCTGCAGGGTTCCGAGCAAATTCCGCCGTCGCCTCTGATCGGCAGAAGGCCCAGGAGGCTCCTGGAGGTACAGATCATCTGGAACCATAGTACAAGCTGGTGCCCCCCCAGTTATGTTTGTTGGTTTATAAACCATAGTAAGTATATATATATATATATACACCATGATATACCTACCATAAACCATAGTTATTGGAGTTATGTTCACCAACTTAGCTATCGAACTGGGGCACCACTTTGTAGGCAAATTGGAAAAGTATCGAACAAACATGATAATGTTCTGATCATGATACATGGCGGTTGATCTAAATTCCGTGATCTGCAAACGGCCACTCTTCGCGAAAAAAACAAATACTCTTGCGAATCTCTCGCGAACCACACGTTTATTTTTCGCGGGGGTCTCATGTTAAAATCGTTCGGGAAATATTTCGCCCGCAAAAAAATGCTTTCGCAAACTCAGAAAAAAACAACTTTGGCAGGGTCTCATGTTGAACCCTGGCGACCTTTGTAATGGCCAATCTCTACATGGACCTTTAGATCGACAATTACATGTATACATTATATATTTAATAAATATCTCTATATATATTATATTATATTATATATTAATTATACAATGTGAAT